TCTTTCTGTCTTTCACACACACGAAAGGTTAATGGAAAATGAAATTAAGAGAGGAGTTTGATTTGGTGTAAGAAAATTTCTGGTATGTTTTTTTTCCCTCACAATACACATTTTCTGTTAACGGTTTGAAGGCTCTTTGTACGCATGGATTTCAGACATTTTCCATACATTTCCTTCAGCTCCATTCTCCTTGACACTGAAGTCCCTGTGTGTGTGGATAACAACACTGCTTCCTGGGGTGTCTTTCTGCTGGCTCTGGGGAGTGCAGACACACCGTCCACTCCGACAGCGCTCACTCTTCCACACTTAGTGGCCATTCCCAATTTCCTCGCGTGTGCGTGGAGCCACATCAGTGTTAACAATGTTTGAGAGATTTTTGTTTTATGGCGGAGCGATTTTCTGTTGAAACTTGTCTGTTGTGTGATACGAGGAGGCATTTGGCCCGTGTGGCCTGTGTTGAGCTATCCCTAGCTTTTGTGATACTGCTTAGGCGGACGAGGTGGTGTCGGGTGTAGCAGTCGGATCAGCACCTGGCCTCCAGGGGCTTCCCCGCTGGTGGTCGGGGCTCCTGGTTCTTGCTGGGCAGGGGTGGGAGCTTTGTTAGCACTGGGTGATGCTGGAGGCCCTGGCGGGACCTGGGCCAGGGGTCGGAGAGGTGCATCTTTCCTGCTGGGAGGGGGCTCTCTGGGCTCCCCCACATGAGCTTCAGCATCAGTGCGGAATAACCCCCTTCTCTGACATGTTCCAGTGGAGGGGTCCTGCGCTGCAGCCTGGGCCATGGTGAGATGTGCCATGCAGCGCCATGTGGGGAAGCCACCAGGCTGCTCGGAAGGAGCTGGCAGGGCTGGGGGAGGATTGGAACAGGGCCTTTATTGAGGTGTCTGTAGGAAGGGCAAGGCGGGCACATGAACAGGTTGGCCTTGTCTGAATGACTTGGCCTCTACCCTCTGAGATGGTCCCTGGTCTCCTGGAACCTGGCTTGGGAGTTGAAGGTGGTGGGAGACTGATTCAGTCGCTTTGCTGTCCCCAGGGTTGCCTGCAGCGGGAGCACTCCCCAGTTAGAACAGTGGTTTTGGCTTTTGTTTTCTGGAACGTTTTATTTTTTTAAAGATGGCACATAGGTAAAGGGGGAGGGAAAAAGAGACTGAGAAGGAAACCTTGCATGAACTGGCTTATTTCCCACGAGGCTGCTGCAGCTTGGGCCGGGCTCAGCCAAAGCCAGGAGCGGTCCTCAGCTCACGGGGGTCAGGCCTGGGCACACGGGCCTCTGCCTGCTGTGCACTACCAGGAAATTGAATTGTGAACGAAGCAAGCAGGGCTGGAGCTGGTGCTTTGGTATGGGATCCCTGATGTTGCAAGTGGCAGCTTAACCCACTGTGCTATGAGCTGGCTCTCAGAAAGGTTTTCGTTTAGATGGGGAAAAAATACCACAGGCTGGAATGGAAGTTATTTCTCGAGGTCGTCTGCCGTGCCAGGCCAGTCCTGACTTTGTCCTGGGGCTGGAAGGAGCAGGCAGGTTGTCTTGGAACTCTGCTGTGTGCACAGTGTATGTCCAGGTGCTGGCTTCCTCAGCTCCTCTGGAGTGTGGAACACAGGGGTGACCCAGGAGACGCGCCACCGTATCGTGCTTGGGTCCTGAGGTCTGTCCTTTCCTGTTTCTCATTTGCTGTCTTTTTCTTTTTTAATTGGAAATGCAGATTGGATTTACACAAAAGAGAGACAGAAAGACCTTCCATCTGCTGATTCACTCTCCAAGTGGCCGCAGTAGCCAGCCAGAGCTGAACTGATCCAATGCCAGGAGCTTCTTTCAGGTCTCCCATGTGGGTGCAGGGTCCCAAGGCTTTGGGCCGTCCTCGATTGCTTTCCCAGGCCACAAGCAGGGAGCTAGATGGGAAGTGGAGCTGCTGGGACCCGCACTGGTACCCATGTGGGATCCTGGTGCTTGCCAGGCGAGGATTTGGCCGCTGACGCATTGCACCGGGCCCCCTTGTTGCCTTTTACGTGTGTTTAAGTTACAGTGGCCAGGGCGATGGTCTCAATGGGAGGAGTCTTCTGTGTTTTGATAATGCAGATTTTCGTTCCTTCCCACCTTGCCTCCCTCTTCTTATTTGTGGTGGGAATGAGCTTTGACAAAGGATCCTTTGTTGATGTAGTGTGCTGCTCCACCGTCTCCTGGTCTGGGCTGCCTGACACCTGTCGCTGTCCCCTTGCCCCTGTGTTCATCATGGTTCTATCTCTGGCGGTTCTTCCTACCACTGGCCTGACGCGGTTTTATTGAGTGGCTCTTTGTGCAGTTTTCTTCAGGTTTCTTTGGTGTAGGGTTTTTGTTCTTAGATTGAGGCGTTACTATTTCCATCAAAATGGGTGGCATTTGGCTAAATTAAACAATTTTATTTTTATACGTCACACAGAGTAAAATTAACTCTCGTGGTGTGAAGTTGTCTGAGTTGGAACTGCCACCTCCCAGCAGTGGCGATGCAGAGCCGCTCTGTGACCCAGAACCCTTCCTTGTGCTGCCCTGTGCAGCTGACCGCGCTGGACGTGTGTCCTCGTCCTGCGGTCTCAGTGCACGGATCTGGGGCCAGCTGCAGATCTCCGTAGAGCTTCCCGACACACTGACCAGTTGCTATTTTGAAATGCTTCTCCTGGTGTTTCATTATGAGTATATTATATTTACAGTGGTTATTTTCAGGGTTATTAGTCTTCTCTCCTGTGGTATTGGATCTGTTAGTACGATCTCCTGGTGTGTTTTACACCACAGAGATTTTACTCGCCAAGTTTACATGTGGATCAGTTTTCATTTGCTCTTTAGCATAATACCCTTTCTCACATCCTTGAACATATGGAAGTACTTATAGTGTCTTTTTTTTTATTAAAGATTTCTTTATTTTTATTGCAAAGTCCAGGTATATATAGAGAGGAGGAGAGACAGAGAGAAAGATCTGTCCAATGATTCACTCCCCAAGCGGTCACAACGGCTGCAGCTGAGCCAATCCGAAGCCAGGAGCCAGGATCTTCTTCTGGGTCTCCCACGTGGGTGCAGGGTCCCAAGGCTTTGGGCCGTCCTCAACTGCTCTCCCAGGCCACAAGCAGGGAGCTGGATGGAAATGGAGCTGCCAGGATTAGAACTGGAGCCCATATGGGATCCTGGCGCATTCACGGCAAGGACTTAAGCTGCTAGGCCACTGTGCCGGGCCCTATAGTGTCTTTTTTTTTAAAAAGATTTATTTATTTTTATTACAAAGTCTGATATACAGAGAGGAGGAGAGACAGAGAGGAAGATCTTCCATCCGATGATTCACACCCCAAGTGAGCGCAATGGCCGGTGCTGTGCTGATCCGGAACTTCTTTCAGGCATCCCATACGGGTGCAGGGTCCCAAGACCTTGGGCCGTTCTCAATTGCTTTCCCAGGCCACAAGCAGGGAGCTGGATGGGAAGTGGAGCTGCTGGGATTAGAACCGGCACCCATATGAGATCCTGGCACGTTTAAGGCGAGGATTTTAGCCACTAGGCCACGCCGCCGGGCCCTAGGTGATGGCTTCTTACTGTTGGAGACAAACAGTAGCACAAGAAAGGATGACACTTATTCACATTCGGAGAAGAGCTGGAGGTTGGGTTTTGCAATTAGAGTATGATTTGCGTGTAATTATGCATCTGCTACAGTAAGAGCTGTTTGACATTGGACATAGTTTTGATTTTCTGAGCCATTTTCCTGGTTTTTTGTTTTGTTTTGTTTAAGATTTATTTCTTCTTTTTTATTGGAAAGTCAGATTTGCTGGTTTCCTTGCCAAATAGCTGCAAAGGCCAGAGCTGAGCCGATCTGAATCCAGAAGCCAGGGGCTTTCTCCAGCCACCCCCCCCCCCCATGGGTGCAGGGTCCCAAGGCTTTGGACTGTCCTTCACTGTTGTCCCAGGCCACAAGCAGGGAGCTGGAAAGGAACTGGAGCAGCTGGGACATGAACTGGTACCCATATGGGATGCCAGCACATACAAGGCAAGGACTTTAGCCACTAGGCTACTGTCGGAGTCCAGCTCCAGCTGAGATCGGAACTCACGAAGGGTGCGTGGATGAGGCGCAAAGAAAGAAAGAGACAGACCACTAGGACTTCATCATCATAATGGACGACGCACAAAAGCTGTCCGCTTTATTTATACAGAATCAGTCAAACTCTGGCTCAGACTTTTTACATCATGGTCAAATGGGTGTTTCTAAAGATAACTCTGCCATTTGTTTCACCTAAGGCTAGGATGTTATTCACCTGGTGCCTGACTAGGAAAAGGTTCTCAATACATGGTGCATATCAATCACTAACACATTCCTACCACAATTACTCTACAGCTTGGTCTTGAGACAGTCAAGGAAGGAAGGGACCTAAAAGATCAAAGAAAGAGGGAAAGAATAGATTCTACTACACCTGAAGTCAGAACACCCTTGATTAGCATAGGATCAAAAGGGGAGTTAGCACCCTTGATTAGCATATTGCCATAGGATGCGGCCATAACAGCAATAACAGCTCTTTGGCTAAAAAACTGGCAACAGCAACATCAGCTTCTAAGCTGCCATTGATATTTAACAGTAACTCCGCAGAGGCAGACAATGCCTAAATAGATTACAGAATTCTCAGCGGGGTTGTCCGGTGTCCATGCAAAAGGAGGCAGAGCTGCATTCAGGTGTTGTAGAGACATCTCCCGGCCTTGCCACACAGCGGGAAGTTCCTTGCGGCCCTGCCTGCAATGGAACCATACTCTTCACACCTTCCTGTCTTCCACATCCATCACACGGACCCCAGCAGGCTACCATACCTGGCCCCCTTTTTCCTGTTTTGTGAAATAGAGCCAATATTCTTATCTCCTAGAGGTGTGACAGAATTAAATAACTGAGTAAAAGTCGATAGCTCCGCGTGTGTCGGTTTGGGAGAGTGGCTGTGTCTGCGGCTGGCTCGGTCTGTGCAGTAGTCATGCCTGGCTCATTGAAGGGTTGTCCTCTGTCCCCTTTCAGGTCACGCAGAAGGATTTTGTATGATGTGTACGATGCAAGCACACATCACCCAGGCGCTCAGCAATCCCGGGGATGTGATCAAGCCCATGTTTGTCATCAACGAGATGCGCCGTAAGTACCGACGGGGGGAGGTCCTCTCATCTGCTGTCGGGGGAGGTCCTCTCGTCTGCTGTCGGGGGAGGTCCTCTCACCTGCTGTCGGGGAGGTCCTCTCACCTGCTGTCGGGGAGGTCCTCTCACCTGCTGTCGGGGAGGTCCTCTCACCTGCTGTCCGGGGAGGTCCTCTCACCTGCTGTCGGGGGAGGTCCTCTCATCTGCTGTCGGGGGAGGTCCTCTCATCTGCTGTCGGGGGAGGTCCTCTCATCTGCTGTCGGGGGAGGTCCTCTCATCTGCTGTCGGGGGAGGTCCTCTCATCTGCTGTCGGGGGAGGTCCTCTCACCTGCTGTCCGGGGAGGTCCTCTCACCTGCTGTCGGGGGAGGTCCTCTCACCTGCTGTCGGGGGAGGTCCTCTCATCTGCTGTCGGGGGAGGTCCTCTCATCTGCTGTCGGGGGAGGTCCTCTCACCTGCTGTCGGGGAGGTCCTCTCGTCTGCTGTCGGGGAGGTCCTCTCACCTGCTGTCGGGGGAGGTCCTCTCATCTGCTGTCGGGGGAGGTCCTCTCATCTGCTGTCGGGGGAGGTCCTCTCACCTGCTGTCGGGGAGGTCCTCTCGTCTGCTGTCGGGGAGGTCCTCTCACCTGCTGTCGGGGGAGGTCCTCTCATCTGCTGTCGGGGGAGGTCCTCTCGTCTGCTGTCGGGGGAGGTCCTCTCACCTGCTGTCGGGGGAGGTCCTCTCACCTGCTGTCGGGGGAGGTCCTCTCACGTCTGCTGTTGGTGGTCTGTGCTAATGGCCCAACTGGCCGAGTTACCATCTTGTGCTACAACACAAACAGTACATTTTATCAACACGGAGATGCCTTTAGTAACATTTTAGCTAAATTATTTCTGTGTTCATTTTGAAATCTTTAACCAATAAAGACAGTATAATAAGATAGTATTCAGTTTAATATAGGCAGCTTTCATATTATTTTAAATTATGCTTGCCAATAAAATGATTTTCTTAGTGTTTTTTTTCCTACAGTTGAATTTCAGATTAATACTGTAATATTGCTTTCTTTTTTTATTTTTTTAATTTTTAAAAAAGATTTATTTTATTTTTATTGGAAAGGCAGATATACAGACAGGAGAGATAGGAAGTTCTTTCGTCCAATGATTCACTCCCCAGGCGGCCGCAATGGCTGGAGCTGAGCCAATCCGAAGGCAGGAGCTTCTTCCGGGTCTCCCACGCGGGTGCAGGGTCCCAAAGCCTTGAGCCGTCCTCGACTGCTTTCCCAGGCCACAGGCAGGGAGCTGCATGGGAAGCAGGGCTTCCGGGATTAGAACTGGTGCCATATGGGATCCCGGGCGTGCAAGGCGAGGACCTTAACCACTGCGCCACCTGCGCCAGGCCCAGTATTGCTTTGTTTTTGTACATTTTTAAAAGTCTGTTTTATTTTATTTGAAATACAGAGTGAGAGTACTTCTGAGGTGCTCTTCAGAGCCAGGGCTGGGTCGGGCAAAGCCAGGAGGCCATGGCTCCATTGCGGTAGCTCTGTGTGGAGGGAATCCGAAGCCAGGAGCCAGGAGCTTCTTCCGGGTCTCCCACGCGGGTGCAGGAACCCAAGATTTTGGGCTGGGCCATCCTGTGGTGCTTTCCCAGGCCACAAGCAGGGAGCTGGATGGGAAGTGGAGCAGCCGGGACACGAACCGGTGCCCACATGGGATCCTGGTGCATGCAAGGTGAGGACTTTAGCCACTCGGCTACCATGCCGGGCCCAAAAATATAATTCTTAATGTGATATGTAACTTGTTAATTGTGGCTGTGGATAATTGCTGCTTTTGTTTAAGGAGCTACTAAAGAGTAAAGATTACACTGGCTGTGGGCCGGCATTGTGACGGAGTGGGGAAGCTGTGCCTGAGGTGCCAGCGCCCCGTGCTTCTGCAGTGTGAGTCCCACTGTTCCATTGGTGACCAGTTCGTTAAGGCACGTGGGAAAGCAGCAGCACATTGCCCAGTGCTTGTGTCCCTGCCTCCTGCGCGGGACGCTCTGGCTCAGAACTCATCAGCTCACCCGTCCGGCCATTTGGCGAGTGACTCGAAGGGTGGAAGATTGCTCAGTCTCCTTCCGTTCCACCTCTCATTTGGGTTGTCCAGTAGGACAGAAGCCTTTTCTTCATCCAGGCGTCTGACTGGGTGATAGGCAGAGGTGTGCAGCGTGTGTAACAGGCAGTTGGACAGATTTGAGTGCTTGTGCATGTGTTTATTTTTATGTGTGATAGTGGGCATTGATAATATTTTTACATCTGGTGAGTTTGTTTTTTTAAGGCTTGCTTAGTTAGATCTTCCATTAGATAAAGAGAAAAATGTTCGGGCCCAGCAGTGTGGCCTAGTGGCTAAAGTCCTCGCCTTGAACTTGCCAGGATCCCATATGGGCACCAGTTCTAATCCTGGCAGCTCCACTTCCCATCCAGCTTCCTGCTTGTGGCCTGGGAAAGCAATTGAGGACGGCCCAAGGTCTTGGGACCCTGCACCCGCGTGGGAGACCCAGAAGAGGCTCCTGGCTTCGGATCGGCATAGCATGGGCCATTGCACTCACTTGGGGAGTGAATCGTCGGATGGAAGATCTTCCTCTCTGTCTCTCCTCCTCTCTGTATATCTGACTTTGTAATGAAAATAAGTCTTTAAAAAAAGAGAGAGAGAGAAATCTTCCAGTTTACTCTCCACGTGGCCAAAATGGCTGTGCCTGAGGCAGGCCGGAGCCAGGAGGCTGGAATTTCACCTGGATCGTCCTTGCAGTCGGCATGTTTGTGTTTTGCTTTCCCAGGTGTATTGCAGGGAGCAGGACTCAAAGTGAACAACTGGCCCTTGAACCTGCACTCACATGGGCTGCTGATATCAACAGGTGGCTCTTTAACTCATTGCGCTTACAGAGACCCCTAAATATAGTCTCTCTTTGTTTTGAAAGATTTATTTTTATTGGAAAGGCAGAATTACAAAGAGAAAGAGTGACAGAGAAAGATCTTCCACCCACTGGTTCGCTCCCCAAGTTGCCACAACGGCCAGAGCTGAGCTGATGCGAAACCAGGAACAAGAAGCTTCCTCCAGGTCTCCCATGTGGATGCAGGGTTTTGGGCTGTCCTCTGCTGCTTTCCCAGGCCACAGGCAGGGAGCTGGATAGGAAGTGGAGCAGCCAGGACACGAACCAGCACCCGTATGGGATGGCAGGGCTTGGAGGTTGAAGATTAGCCAGTTGAGCCATCGTGCTGGCTCTAAACCGAGTCTAAGGAAATTATCATGGTGCAGCTAAGTAGATCACTGGGGTAGATTTCCTTTTTAAAGGTTTTATTTATTTATTTAGAAAGTCAGAGTCAGAGAGGGCTTCTGTCTGCTGATTCGCTTCCTAGATGGCTGCAGTGGCCAGCACTGGGCCAGGCGAAAGCTGGGAGCTTCATCCAGGTTTCCCTGGTGGGTGGCAGGGGCCCAAACGCTTGGGTCATTCCCCACTCCATTTTCCAGGCCATTAGCAGCAGTCCTGCTTGGAAGTGGAGCACCTGGGCGTGTCATTGCCCCTAGGGGATGCCCCCCAAGGCGGCAGCTTTACCTGCCAACCACGACGCCTCCGGAGGACAGGATTCCGATAGGCTTGCGTGTGTTTTCCGTGGTTCTCTCCACGAGGCCTAGCAGTGGATTGAACGTGTGTGCACAGGATGACATCTGACCAACTTTGTTACGGTGCGTGTGCTGTTGGATTTAGTGATCTCTACTTTGGTTCATGTGCTAAGGATGTGCAGCAACGTGTGGACCTGCAGGAACTGCAGTCCCCTCGCGGGCTGCCGGGGGCTGCAGGGTACAGTCCGACTGCTAGTGCCGTTTCTCCAAAAAGTAGTTTTTCAGGAGTTTGCTGTTCTGAGTATTATCACAAGGTATAACTCCTAGGTACAGCTAGGCGTAACATGGATGACCAAGCCTTGTCTTGCTCAAATCTCACAGGGATAGCCCGACACTTCCGTTTTGGAAACCAAGAGGATGCCCATGAGTTCCTTCAGTACACTGTCGACGCTATGCAAAAAGCATGCTTGAATGGCAGCAATAAGTGAGTACCAGATAGGCCCCGTTGCTTGGTCCTCGCGCCGGAAGGCCCGGCTCTGGGCTGGCCTCCCCGTCCGCCTTGTAGGACCTCTTCTCCAGTGGATCTGTGTGACTCTTTAGTTGAAACCTACCAAGGGGTGCTCGTTGTGACGATCTGAATTCAGTGCCAGGAAATGAATGTTGGTCTACCAACTATTTTTTTAAAAAATAATTTGTTGGAGAAAGAAAAAGAAGTGCTGGGGGCTCCCATTTGTTGATTGACTCTCAGATGTCCCCAACAGCAGGGCTTGGCTAGGCCGAAGCTCGAATGTTGAGAACGTTTCCCAGGGACCTAAGGACTTGAGCCGTTCGAGGGTGTGCTTGAGTGAGCCAGGGTCTGCCCTGTGCCTCGGGACACCCGACTTGAGCAGTGCCTTCCCTGCTGGGTTCCTGGCCAGCACAGCGGCTGAGTGGCAGCACACCTTTGGGTCTTGCCTGGCCCTTCCTCTGTTGACCGCCACTGTGGTTCACCTGAATTCTTTCTCTTTGCCTCCCTCCCTTCTTCCTTTTTTTTTGGAAGGCAGAGTTAGAGGGAGATCTTTCATCCACTGGTTTACTGCTCAGATAGTCACACTGGACAGAAGTCCAGAGCTTCTCCAGGGCTCGCACTGGTTGCAGGGCTCAAGCACTTGGGTTTTCTTCCACTGCTTTCGTTAAGCAAAGGAGTGAGCTGGATTGGAGTTAGGCAGTGGGGGACTCAAACTGGTGCCCGCATGGGATGCCATTGTGCTGAGTGGCAGCTCCACCTGCTATGGCATGGCAGCAGTTTTAACGTGCTAGGCCAACGTGCTGGCCCCTCTCCCCTCCTTGTCGCTCTCCCGTCCCTCTCCCACTCTCTAGGATCAGATACCAGGAGGCTTCTTCCTTGAAGCCTGAATGCAGACTGAGGAGGGCCGGCTGGAAGAGCCCGGCGGTCCGGCCTTGGGCGGGGCTGCTGTCTTCCTTTGGAGAGAGCCGCCCGCCCTGCAGCCACTGCGCCTGCGCAGACCACAGCCCTGTGGGGGTGTCTGCCCAGCTGCTTGCTTCAGTCCTGGGTTTCTGCCTGGAGTTCGGGACCCCCCTAATGCCGGCCTCTATACTGCCTCTTTGCACACGCCTGGCTCCCTGCAGGCCTCACTGTTGTGGCTGGGCAGGACTGCGCTCTGCCCTGCGTGCTGAGCTCTTTATGTTTGGGGGGTCTCTCCTGTTTGAATTCTCTGTAACTGTGACGTCTGGTCGTGTCATCCATGTCGATGCCAGAGCTCGTCTCCCAACTCCGCTGTTTGGATGTTTTTCAGGTTAGACAGACACACCCAGGCCACCACATTGGTTTGTCAGATATTTGGAGGATACCTAAGGTCCAGAGGTAAAGTTTTCTTTGTGCGTGTGTGTGGTTTCCCAGAATGCACGCCCTGGGTAATGACGAGAGCTCCGCCACACTCCTCCCCGCCACACTCCTCCCCTCCACACTCCTCCCCGCCACACTCCTCCCCGCCACACTCCTCCCCTCCACACTCCTCCCCTCCACACTCCTCCCCTCCACACTCCTCCCCTCCACACTCCTCCCCGCCACACTCCTCCCCTCCACACTCCTCCCGGCCACACTCCTCCCCTCCACACTCCTCCCTGCCACACTCCTCCCCTCCACACTCCTCCCGGCCACACTCCTCCCCTCCACACTCCTCCCCGCCACTCTCCTCCCGGCCACACTCCTCCCCTCCACACTCCTCCCCTCCACACTCCTCCCCTCCACACTCCTCCCCTCCACACTCCTCCCCGCCACACTCCTCCCGGCCACACTCCTCCCCTCCACACTCCTCCCCTCCACACTCCTCCCCTCCACACTCCTCCCCGCCACACTCCTCCCCTCCACACTCCTCCCGGCCACACTCCTCCCCTCCACACTCCTCCCTGCCACACTCCTCCCCTCCACACTCCTCCCGGCCACACTCCTCCCCTCCACACTCCTCCCCGCCACACTCCTCCCGGCCACACTCCTCCCCTCCACACTCCTCCCCTCCACACTCCTCCCCGCCACACTCCTCCCCGCCACACTCCTCCCCGCCACACTCCTCCCCGGCAGCCCCTGCGCCAGTCTGGGGGCACGCGGGGCTGGGCGTGACTTCTGTCTGTATTTGCATGTCAGTGACCTCTGGTAATTGAGCCCAGAAGGTCTAGCAGGCTTGCCCAGTGGCAGTAGTGGTGACGCCGAGGTTGGTGGTGGTGTCACCGCTGGTGCGTCTTGGCATGCCCGTGCCGCCTGCCCTTCTGTCTGAGTGCAAGTGTGCGCACACGCAGCCATCCACACCTCGTCGCTGTGCGTGTGCGTTACACACTTTAATACTGCTGTGGTGTGCTTCCCAGATGTAACAACTTGTAGTCCAACCATTAGTGTATAAGGATCCAAATTTATGACACAAACCCATTGTGTAGTCTGCATTAAAAAGCATTTTTGTCTAGTCCAATGGAGAAAAATTGTATTCTGTGCAATTTTTGGTTTGAAATGATATTTGTATTCTGTTATTTCAAGGTTTTCTTTGCTTATCTTTGACATTCTTTTTTATTTCAGTCAAATGTTTAAATTGCAAGGGCGTTTCTGATACTTTTGATCCATATCTTGATATTACATTGGAGATAAAGGTAAGCTCCAGAAGTCTTGTTTGGTTAAGCCTAAGGCATGTTGTCTCGTATAACTGTAGTCTGTGTATGATTTATGCTTGTTAGAGGTTAGAGTTGAAACTGTTGACTTGATGGCTCTCCTTTGGAGGTGATTATGTAAACGTGATGAGTGGACAATACAGAGACCTGCGTTGGCACCGCTAGCCCTCCTGTGGTGACCCAGTGGGCTGCCGGGTGGCACGTGGGCCTCGCGCCTGGTGGCACTGGCTGCGCCGTGCTGCTTGCACACCCTGCCCTGGATTCTTTTCAGTGGCGTGGGTCCTGCTCCAGAATATATTATTTGTTTTTTCTACAAAACAAGGTTATGCCTGATCTGTCTGGCCACGTGGTGTCTGTGATCCTGGGGGAGCCCGTTCTGCACACGTGTGTTGTTTGGGTGCTCCTGTGCAGGTCCAGCACTGTGGACGCAGTGTTAGCTGGATTCTTCATGGACACTTGTTTTCAGTTTCACGCTCTCTTGATTGATGCTCCAGCTAGCAACCTCTTTACATGTGTTGGTTCTCTTTAAGCTGCTTCTATTTTGATGGGAGGGCAAAGATGAAGCGTGTAGGTAGAGGGGAGTGACCGTGACCGAGGACAGGCTTTCTGTAGCGTCCTGTGTCGGTCGTCTGCGGCTCTGCCTCGCTCCCGGGCAGCGCGGGTGACGTGCGTGCTTTCTCGTCCCAGGCCGCGCAGAGCGTGAACAAGGCCTTGGAGCAGTTTGTGAAGCCGGAGCAGCTGGACGGAGAGAACTCCTACAAGTGCAGCAAGTACGATGGTGTGACTGGGAAGCCTCTGCCAGCCGCCCCGCTCCCAGCCTGGGGCCTGGGGAGACCAGACGCTGTAGCCCGAGGTGCTGGAAGGACGCGGCGTGCTGCCTCTCAGCTCCCTCCTCCTAGCCCTGAGGAGCCTGGCACCTGCTTGCTGGCACGCGTGGCTGCGGCAGGCTCTCCCGTGGCCTGTAGCTGCGCCTGTGCCCGTGGCTGGAGCCACTTCCTGCCTGACTTGGCTGAGAGGGCTTGTGGTGGCAGGCCGCTTTGTCCCAGCTTAGTTGAGCGCTCTCTGTGGCATAGGAGACTCAAGTTTTGGTTCATAGCTATCGGGAACCTTGGGTTTTGATGATTCATTTCCCCAAAAATGAAGAGAACCTTTTCTAAAAAGAGATTTGTTTTTGCTTAAGAGGGGCGTTTACAGAGAGAAGGAGAGACAGAGAAAGATCAGTAATCAAGGATTCTCTTTGGAAGTGGCTGCGGCAGCCAGAGCTGAGCAGTCCGAAGCCAGGAGCCTCTTGCTGAGCTCACATGGGTGCAGGGTCCCGAGGCTTTGGCTGTCCTTCCCAGGGCACAGGCAGGGAGCTGGAAGGGAAGTGGAGCAGTCGGGACAGAAACACATGTCCGCATGAGATGCCAGTGCTGGCACACTGAAGTGTAGGCACTTTTGAGCCATCACACCAGTCCCTGAAGATAGCCAGTGTTTGTTTTTGTTTTCTTTTTCCTTATTTTTGACAATCTTTACATAGTTCATTAGGGTAAAAAGGTTCAAGGACTACAGGAAAGCAGGTAAGGCTATTATTTCCACATTGTTCTTTTCCTGTATCTGGGGTGAAGGGAGAAGCCCCACCCAGTCTCCCACCCATCCCAGGTCCCCGATGCGGGGCATGCTCCGAGGGTCTTGCTCAAGTGGTTTTGATAGTTCAACAGTTCTGAATTGCTGCCAGTCTCGCCACTCCAAGCACGATGAGGTCGCTGCAGAATCCACTGATTGACATAGTCCACCCTAGAGTCTCTGTTTACCCAGTTTTTCACTGCCAACATATGGCTGAGGTGGTTGATTGATTTGTTCTGTCCTCTGTTGTGGTGCCAGGTGTCCTCTGCAGTTTCTGATGGATTGCCATATCCTCCTTGTGCATCTGGTTATGCTGTCCACTGCTCTGTCTGAGCCTCTGAGGAGGCTCGGCTCTGGCACTTGCACTCCATGGCAGACCATGGGTTCTGAGTCCGGCAGTTTGATTGGGGAGATCCCCAAAAGACACTTTGTCTGAGGTGTTCCCAGACCTGATTCTTGTGTATACTTGCAAGTACAGGGCCCGATACAGTCCATCGCCCTGATCAGCTGGTGGTTGCAATTGTTGGGTTGGTTCTGCCTCCAGCCCTGTCTTCCACATGAACCAATGGGTGTTGCAGTGCAACCTGATTCTGCCCAGCACACACTCAGCCCTCACATAAACCAGTGGGAGCTGCAGCCTAGTCGGAGCGACCCACAATAACCCCCACCAGGCCCTGCCTCTGCCCTGGTTCCTGTGCTTGGCAGTATGTGCAGCAGACTAGTCCAGTCTGTCCCACATCCCACACGTCAGTGGACATTGAAACCTAGTTCCACCTAACCAGCTCCACTCTCCAGCCCACACACATGCTGTTGGAAGATAGCCAGTTTTTAAGAAACTCTTGTTTCTGGGCCTGGTACAGTAGCCTAGTGGCTAAATCCTTGCTTTGTATGCGCCAGGATCCTATATGGGCGTTGGTTTGTGTCCCGGCTGTTCACTTCCCATCCAGCTCCCTGCTTGTGGCCTGGGAAAGCAACTGAGGACGGCCCAAAGCTTTGGGACCCTGCACCCCTGTGATACCAGGAAGCAGCTCCTGGCTCAGATTGGCTTAGCCTCAGCCGTTGCGGCCACTGGGGGGTGTGAATCAGCAAGTGGAAGATCTTTCTCTGTGTCCTTCCCTCTGAAATCTGCCTCTCCAAAAAACAAAACAAAACAGAAAAGAAACCCTGGTTTCATGTATCTTGGAGGAGTTCCGCCTCCTGTTACCCTGTTACCAAATGCTCACTTTGGAGGGAAGAGAATCCCCCCCTCCCCTCCCCCTCCCCTCCTCCTCCCCTTCCCCTTCCCTCCCCTCCTTCTCCCCCTCTCCCCCCTCCCCCTCCCCTCCCTCTGACCGTGAGGGTATCCTTTGTGTTGAGTTTCCCTTGGTGTTTCTGATTTCATGTTCCCTTTGTCCTTGGCTCGCTCCCCGGTGTGTTTGGGACTGAGTCACCCTGAGTCTAGCATTCATGGTGGCTTGTGTGACTTGGTATTTCAGAATGATCTTTGCCCATTTTATGCTGATTGAGCAGTCTTTCCCTTTATTTTTCATTTTGCTGTTTTCGCTGTGGGTAGCAGGTGGTGGTGTTTCTGGTGCAGTTGTCTTCTTGTGGAAGCTTAAGATGCTTCAGAGAAGTGCCAGGAAGGCTGACTGCCCGGTAGTCACCATGTTCATCTTTCATCTGTTGCAAGGTGTAAAAAGATGGTTCCTGCGTCCAAGCGGTTCACGATCCACAGGTCCTCCAACGTGCTCACGCTCTCTCTGAAGCGCTTTGCCAACTTCACTGGTGGGAAGATTGCTAAGGTATGGGGTGGGCGTGGTTCACTGCCATGGGGAGCAGGGCTCGGGGTCGGCAGCTGGGAAGGGTCAGGAATGACTTGCTTGAACGGTGTTGTTGATTTTCTGCATTGCTCCATCATGTGAGCCAGTGCTGGGATGTGTGTGTGTGTGTGTGTTGTCACTGCATCGACAAGCTGGTCCTCCAGGGAGAAGGAGTGTGTGCCAGTGCTGTGTGTTGGGCTCCATAGCCAAGCCTTCATTCCAGCGCGGGGGCAGTGGTGGAATCCGCAATCCAAACGAGACTTGCCCTGCTGGAGCTCGCCTCTCTCCCCAGAGCTCGTTTCTGCTTGCACACCTGTTTCCGGCTGGGTTTCCCCTTGAATAATGTGCAAGAGAAATGAGCAGTCCATTCGCAGTTTACTGAAATGTCATGGCTGGGGTCTGCTTTTGCTGTGGTGTTACCATCGGAAGGATTCCCTTACAGGGGGCCCGAACCCGCTGAGAGGAAACGAGTCAGCATAGTGAGATCTCGCCCAGTCCACTCAGCCAGGGTCCTGTGGGTTGGTCATGTCTGAAGGTGGCCCCTGCGCGAGCGGGACGGCCGTGGGTGCTGCCACCCAGCCGCGCTGCGCCCTGCGCGAGTGGGACGGCCGTGGGTGCTGCCGCCCAGCTGCGCTGTGCCCTGCGCGAGTGGGACGGCCGTGGGTGCTGCCACCCAGCCGCGCTGCGCAGGGACGGCCGTGGGTGCTGCCGCCCAGCCGCGCTGCGCCCTGCGCTGCGCAGGGACGGCCGTGGGTGCTGCCGCCCAGCCGCGCTGCGCCCTGCGCGAGCGGGACGGCCGTGGGTGCTGCCGCCCAGCCGCGCTGCGCAGGGACGGCCGTGGGTGCTGCCGCCCAGCCGCGCTGCGCCCTGCGCGAGCAAGACGGCCGTGGGTGCTGCCGCCCAGCCGCGCTGCGCCCTGCGCGAGCGGGACGGCCGTGGGTGCTGCCGCGCTGATGGCCCCCCTCCCGTCGCAGGACGTGAAGTATCCTGAGTACCTCGACATCCGGCCGTACATGTCTCAGCCGAGTGGAGAGCCCATCATTTACGTTCTGTACGCGGTGCTGGTGCACACGGGCTTTAACTGCCATGCTGGCCATTACTTCTGCTACATCAAGGTAAGGGCAGCCGACCTGGCTCGGCACTGCTTCGGCAAATCTGTAAGCAGTGGCATTCCCACAGGCAAGTGGGGCACTGCTGGCGTTCAGGTGTGGGTGTGTGCGGTTCCTGCGCGTCACCCAGCCGCGGTCCGTGGTGAGCCTGACCGCCCTCGCTCGCTGTTGCAGGCCAGCAACGGGCTCTGGTACCAGATGAACGACTCCATCGTGTCCACCAGTGACATCAGATCCGTCCTCAGTCAGCAGGCTTACGTCCTCTTCTACATCAGGTATGTCAGAGCATGCTGTTGGCCGCTTCCCGTCACGCACTCACACTCGGGGCTTGCCCTGAGAGAAGTCTGTCATCCACTTGCTCACTCCCAAATAGCTACGGTGAGCAGGACCAGGCCGGGAAGGGCTGAAGCCGGAGCCGCTTCCTGTCACGTGGGTGCAGGCTCCCCTGGGCCCTCCTCTGCTGCCCTCCCAGGCTCAGTACAGGGAGCTGATTCAGAAGTGGAGCAGTGGACCCGGGTCAGTAGCCTAGTGGCTGAAGTCCTCGTTTTGCCATGCACCGGGATCCCATATGGGCGCTGGTTGGTCCCCTGGCTGCTCCACTTCCCATCCAGCTCCCTGCTTGTGGTTTAGGAAAGCAGTGGAGGATGGCCCAGAGCCTTGGGACCCTGCACCTGCATGGGAGACCCAGAAGCTGCTGGCTCCTGGCTTCGGACTGGTTCAGCTCCAGCCGTTGCGGCTGCTTGGAGAGTGAACCAGCAGACAGATCTTTCCGTCTTTCCTTCTCTCTGTAAATCTGACTTCATTTAAAAAAGATCTTTACATAGTTGATTAGGACTTAAAGGGTCAGGCTTTCCAATAATAAATACATAAATGAATCTTTTTTAAAAAGTTAAAAAGAAAAAGTGGAGCAGCGGGGACTGGCACCAGCGGGGACTGGCACCAGCGGCCACTGGCTGCCAGCTCTGCATGCGAGGTCCTAACCTGATGTGTGACATCACCAGCCCCTCAGTGGTTTTTTAAAACAGGCACTTTTGGGCTGGTGCTGTGGTGTAGCAGGTAAAGCTGCTGCTCGTTGGGGGCATCCCTTATACACCAGTTCAGGACCCGGCTGCTGCACTCCAGCCCCGCTCCCTGCCTGTGGCCTGGGAGAGCAGCGGAGGACGGCCCAAGGCCTTGGACTCCTGTACCCACCTGGGAGACCCAGAGGAAACCCCTGGCTCCTGGCTCCAGCCTGGCCTAGGCTTGGCTGTTGCAGCTGTTTCGTGGCCAGTGGCCAGTGGGAGGACTCTTGTCTTCTGTCTCAGGCTTTCCCTCTCCCTCTGTGTAACTCTGCTTTTCTAAATAAATAAATAAATACATCTTAAAACGAACCAGCCCAGAAGCTTCTTGATGACTTTGCCATGTGCTGGAGAGCAGGGAGGCTGGTCTGAGTTCCCTTCACCTGGGCAGGTGCAGAGAGAGGGACGGGCGTGGGCCAGGAGGGCAGGTGCCTTCCGAGGGTGGCTGGCAGCTCTGAGCCCTGCCTGGCCCCGCCCACCGCTGGGCGCAGGCGCTCGGGCCAGCCCTGGAGTGTCAGCGCTCACCCCGAAGGGCTCGGCCGCGGGCCTGGACTGGCTGACCCACGTTTTGGAGAAAACGCTAATGCGTCCTCCAAAATGTCTTGATTCAGTGGTGAAAAATGGAGAACTCGCTCGTATGTCCAGCTGTGGACATGACACACCCAGATGTTGGGGTGCCGTGTGGCTAGCAGGAGCGTAGCCATGATGTCATGACACACCCAGATGTTGGGGTGCCGTGTGGCTAGCAGGAGCGTAGCCATGATGTCATGACACACCCAGATGTTGGGGTGCCGTGTGGCTAGCAGGAGCGTAGCCATGATGTTGTGACACACCCAGATGTTGGGGTGCTGTGTGGCTAGCAGGAGCGTAGCCATGATGTTGTGACACACCCAGATGTTGGGGTGCTGTGTGGCTAGCAGGAGCGTAGCCATGATGTCATGACACACCCAGATGTTGGGGTGCTGTGTGGCTAGCAGGAGCGTAGCCATGATGTGGTTTCAGTGCTTGGAGAAAGTGCTGAGCATCTGCGGAGGAAAGTACTCTGAAACAGTCGCTGGTTTTGAAAACAACTGTGAGCTGAAGCCTGGAGCTGCTCAGCCCGGGCTGCGGGAGCCACCCCTGAGGGCGCAGAGAAGCCATTACCCATGACCTGGGCTGGTGCCTGCCTCATGCTGACCTCGGCCTTAGGGGGTTCACGGGTGCAGCTTGGTGCGTGGAACGTAAACGCAGAATTCCTTGTGTGCAATATGTGCAAAGCATACACCGTGTGTGTGTAATGAGTAATACCAACACACAAAGCTTACACGTGTTATATTTGAAAGGCGGAGCAGGAGACCGCTTGCCGCTGGTTTACTCCTCACCCGCCTGGGGGCCAGGACTCCTTCCAGGTCTCCCCCGGGGCGGGACCCGAGCTGCAGGCCCTGGGGTGCTGGGGAGCTGACCCACACCCAGCTCCCGCCCTTCTCTTCTGAGGAGCCGAGAGCTGTTGAAGTTGACACTGGATCTGTTCAGAGACGTCCTGTCTCACCGAGGAGTGTGCACCTTTCTCTGCAGGTCCCACGACGTGAAGAATGGAGGTGATCTTCCTCACGCCGCCCACAGCCCCGGCCAGTCGTCCCCTCGCCCGCTCCTCAGTCAGCGGGGGGTCAGCAGCAAGCAGGCGGCGCCGGGCTTCATCGGGCCGCAGCTCCCCACGCACGTGCTGAAGGTAACACGCGGAGAGCCAGTGCTGAGCGCGTCCCAAGGCCGCAGTGCGCGTGGCTGCGTCCTCCGCCTGGCCGCGCCCGCGCACTCACGCACCGTTTAGACATGCGGGAGCCTCCAGGCCAGAGTGGGGTGACACCGAGGAGTGCCGGGCTCCGCACTGTCGCTCCGCCACGGCCTCTGTGCTAGTCAACGGCTGTACAGGTCAAGTTCAGAGTTCCCGTCTGCCAGCTCACCCCCCAGACGCCTGCAGGGGCCAGGCGGTGGCAGGACCCGGTGACTTGACCGTCACCCTTCCCTCTCAGGGCATAGTTAGCAGGAAGCCGGAGCCCAGATGAGAGCCAGCCACTGTGGGCTGTGGGCATTCTAGCTGCCAGCCAGACCCCGGCCTGGGGGTCTCAGTGTTGGGCTCCAGTGTAGCCGCCCTTTGAGCAAGCTGCTGCTCCTGCTCCCCCTGTGCCGTTAGGAGCGCGCGTCTCCTAGCTGCCGCCCGCTGGCCTTGACCCCGTCCCTGCGTCTCGTGGTGCCCGTCTCCGCAGAGCCGGCCGGCCTTCACGCAGCTCACGAGTGGGGCTGCCCAGAGCGGCACACCTGGGCTTGGCTTCGCAGCTCAGCGCGGGGTGCCCCTCTCGACGAGGCCCTGGAGGAGTCGAGCGCTGTGGGGTACTTTGATTGCTGTTTTTGCTTTGGTTTGTGAAACCTTCCAGTGTTAAAATAATGGCTGATTCAGATATTTAATAAAATACTTTTTCCCTCGGGGCCACCACAGGGAGGACAACAGGGCTGGGGGCAGACGCCCCCTTCACGGAGGGTCGCCTCGCACGTGGCGTCCCAAGCCTGTCTCCGTCTACAGGGATGACTCCCCAGGAAGCCTGCTTAGGAAGAGTGGGGTGGTGGCGTGCCCCGAGGGACAGACGGTGTTCTCACCAGCACGTTTGTCTCATGTGCCAGGCAGCTGCCAGGAGACCAGGCCTGTGGCGGGCCTGGGGGGCGGGCGGGGAGGCCCTGGCACTGCAGCACATGGGCTGATCGTCCCCCTTAGCACCCGCACCCCATATGGGCACTGCTTCCTGTCCCGGCAGCTCCACTTCCTGTCCAGTTCCCTGCTTGTGGCCTGGGAAAGCAGTGAAGGGTGGACAGCTCCAAGGCCTAAGGCTCCTGCACCCACGTGGACACCCGGCTGAAGCCTGGCTTTGCATTTGAAGAGTGAACCAGCGGATGGGAGATCTCTCTTTTTCTCTGTCCTCCTTTCTAACTCTGCCTTTTAACTGATAAATCTTAGAAGAAAAAATGCAAGTGTATGTGGGTTGGAGATGATAGGACAAAAGGGAGGTGTTTGTAGACGTGTGACACCTGTTAGAAAAAAGGAAAAGGGGCCCGGTGCGATAGCATAGTGGTTAAAATCCTTGCCTGGAATGTGCCAGGATCCCATATGGGCACCGGTTCTAATCCCGGCAGCCCCGCTTCCCATCCAGCTCCCTGCCTGTGGCCCGGGAAAGCAGTCGAGGATGGCCTAAGGCCTTGGGACCCTGCACCAACGTGGGAGACCCGGAAGAGGCTCCTGGCTTCAGATCGGCATAGTATCGGCCATTGCGCTCACTTGGGGAGTGAATCATCGGACGGAAGATCTTCCTCTCTGTCTCTCCTCTCTGTATATCCGCCTTTTCAATAAAAATAAATAAATCTTTAAAAAAAAAAAGGGATAAGATCAGAAGGGGAGGGGCCTGTAGGCCAGACTGTGTATCAGGGCCACGTGTCTCACGCGCTGATCGGCTTTGGTTTTTCCCTCTAGAATCCTCCTCAATTAAATGGGACCGGACCGTTGAAAGACGCACCAGGCAGCTGCATGTCCAGTCCCAATGGGAGTTCCAGCGTCAACAGAGCTAGTCCTGTGCACGCCTCGACTTCGGTGCAGAGCTGGTCGGTGAACAGGCCCTCTGCTGCCCCGGAACACCCCAAGAAGCAGAAGATCACCATCAGTCTCCACAACAAGCTGCCTGTGCGCCAAGGCCCGTCCCCAGCCGGCCCCCACGGCGGTCCCTCGGAGAGCCCGGGCAAGCCGGCCCCCTGCGCCACCGTCTCCACTCCCGCAGTACAGCCTACCTCGAACGCGGCCAGCGCCGTCCCCAAGCCCGTCGCCCCCGCCGAAGCCTGCTCCGCCCCCATGGTCAACGGCACGGCCAAGCTCAGCCCCAAGCTCAGCCCCAAGCTCAGCCCCGGCGTGCTCGTGCCCTACGGGGCCGAGTCATCGGAGGAGTCGGACGAGGAGCCCAAGGGCCTGCGCCGAGAGCACGGGCTCGGGGCCAGGCTGCCCGAGAACTGCCCGCCTGCCCGCGCCGAGGCCGGAAGCAGCCCCGCCTGCCAGCAGGAGCCTGTCCACGGTGCTAAGGGCGCAGACAGCGAAGCCACGGAAAGCGGGCCGTCTGTGGATGGCGCCAGCTGCCAAGTCGCGCCTGCTGTGCCCTCAGAAAGCTCCTTTGCTAAGGCCAATGGTCTTCCTGGAAAGGTGAGTGGGAGTCGCCAGGCAGGTGGGCTAGTTGGCTTGGCTAGATGTGGGGGCATGAGCTGGCAGCCAGCATTGCTGTGTCTCTGTTTTTATTGTAGTTGACACCTGCTCCTTTGCCATCTCTCCCAGAAGACGAGATCTTAGAGACCTGCACACTCAGTAGCAAAGCGCAAGGCGCGGCAGGCGAGACGAGGTAAGAAGGCCGGCGTGGGCGGAGGGAGAGCCTGCAGGGCGAGGCACCGCTCGGAGACGGCGTGGGGCAAGACCGAGTCCCGAGAGATCGGAATACTACACGGGAGAGGTCTCCCACCTACTGGTTCACTCCCCGCATGGCTGCAAGAGCTGGGACTGGGTCAGGCTGAAGGCAGGAGCTCCTCTGTGTCTCCCTGCTGGGTCTCGTAACCCTCCGCTGCTTTCCTGGGTCATTAACAGGAAGCTGAACTGAAAGTGAAGTAGCGGCAAGTGGCAGCTTAACGCACTGTGCCGTCGTGCGGGCCCTGACTGCATGTTTGCCCGCTCTAGAGGCTGGGCATGGTTGGCAGTTGCCCATGCAGGCCACTGTGCAGCTTCCATGGTTCCTGACTGTGTGTGAGGAGTGATTGCGGGGGAGTCGGGTCCTCGTGGAGTTGGGGGGAGATTCTGTCGAGTCACATCTGTTTGCCGAGGATCCGTGGTAGTGCCAGGGCGGGAGAGGCCGCCGCCAGCCTGCTGGGGTCACGCCGCCCGACAGGAGGCCCGGGGGCTGACCGCGTGAGTGCAGGCGTGCTGTACCCTTCGGCCTCACTGGTGATCTTTTTGTCCTAGCGGCAGCTGCCTGGCACCGGCGGTGGACAACAGCCCAGAGGATCCCACAGCAGAGCCCGAGCCCGAGGCTGGCGCAGTGCCACCGGAGACATGGGAGAGGGCCGCCGGCCTCGTCGGGAGCAGCCGGAAGGCCCTGCCGCCCTCCGACCCTGGTGGCGCCTCCTCCAAAGAAGGCCCTGATGAGGCCTCGACGGTAGCCAAGGAGCCCGTGCCCGGGGCCAGCGGCCCGTGCCCCAGCCCCCAGCCTGCCGCGGGGGACAGCCAGCCCTCCCAGCAGGACTATGGCAGCTGCTCCGGGGCCCCTGGCAGCCCACTGCAGGAGGTGACAGGGCCGCTGGCGGGCAGTCCCTCGGACCCAGCGCCCCCGGAGAGGGCAACTGAGCTGAGCCCAGTGCCCGTGGCATCTGCCGAGGCTGCCTGTGAGCGCAAACTGTCAGTGCACCTCAGTGGGGACTGGGGCCGCGACCCTGAGGGGCCTGCCGCGCCCCCTGCACAGCCGGCCAGGACCGCAGGAAGCCAGCCTGAAGGGGGCTCTGGGCAGAGCCGCGGGGACAGGGGCGAGGAGAGCAAAGGTGGGCACAGCGGCCTGGAGCGGTCTCCGGTTAAGGAGAGAGTGGGCGGCCCGCGGAAGGTGGACCGGGGCCATTACCGCACCTGGCGGGACCGCTCCTCCAGCGGGGAGCACGTGCGGGAGAGCCGCAGCAAGACCCAGGAGCACCGGCACCGGAAGCGGCACTATGACCGGGAGCGGGCCCGGCCCGAGCGCCACCCGGCCGAGCCCTGCGGCGCCCAGCACCCCCTGAGCCCCGGTGACCGGCACTCCCTGGGCACCTACGGCCACCACCACTCGCGCCCCAGGAGCGCCTCGGCCCAGGGCTGGAGCAGGTGCCACCCGTCAGAGAGCGAGCACGCCTGGGGCCGGGGCAAGTACTACCCGGACAGGATGCGGTGGGACAAGTGCAGGTACTACCACGACAGGTACACCCCGTACGCGCCCCGGGACTGGAAGCCCTTCCACAGCGGCCGGCCCTGCAAGGACTACCGCTGGAGCGGCCGGGGCTACGAGGCTCTGGCCAGGGACAGGCAGCGGCACCACGCGCACAGCACCCGCACGGCCACCACAGCCCCGGGCCCCGAGAAAGTGGCCCAGGTGGCTCACGATGGCGCTGCCAGCCTCGCTGAGCGCTTTCACGAGCACGAGGAGCTGCGGTCCCGGAAGCGGAGGTATGGCAGTGTGGACAGCGACGACGGCCATGACAGCCACGCGGCCAGGAAGGCTCCCCGGAGCCCGCAGAGGGACTTGGCGGAGGAGCCGAAAGCCAAGAAGCACAAAAAGTCCAAGAAAAAGAAAAAATCCAAAGATAAACACCGAGAGCGGGACTGCAGGTGAGGTGGGCGCTGCCCACAGGGGACTGGCATGCTCGGCTGTGCCCACAGCCGTGCCTTGTTGGCGGGCCCCTTGGCCTGGCCCCTCCAGAGTAGGGACCCTGAGACCCAGGGCTGGGCCTCCATCTCTGTCTCTTTTCCACTGGAAATCTGAGTGGGGCATTGTGCTGTTTTGAAAACACCACCCTGGTGGGCGTGGGAGTGCTGGGGGAGGGCAGGACTGTGTGGTCCCTGGAGCTGCCCTAGACAGCTGGGTGCCCAAGACGCCTGCAGGTCTCAGGAACGGCGGTGGGTCAGCCTGCAGCACCACGCTGCTGAAGCCTTGCTCGCTGGGCGGGCTGGGCGGGTGCGCGGGGCGGCCTGGCTGGCAGCTGACTGACGCCGCCTCCTGCTCTCACAGGCATCAGGACTCAGACCTGGCGGGAGCAAACTCCGACGCAGACCTCCACCGCCACCGGAAGAAGAAGAAGAAAAAGAAGAGGCATTCGAGGAGATCGCAGGACTTGGCGAAGGCCCCTGAGCGAGGCCTGCCAAAAGCCACGAGCTATGGCACTGGGGACCGCTGGCACAGGGGCGAGGGCAGCTTCCTGCTTGCCACCCTGCCCGGGGAGAGCCTGGGGCCTTTACGTGACAAAGCCAAGCACCTGCGGCCGGAGGGCAGGGCCAGCAGGTGCCGCCTGTCCGAGCATGGCCAGGGTAAGAGGTGCTCCTTGGGACCGAGGAAGTAGACTGCTCGTGTAGCTGCTTTGTTATTTTGGGGAGAGGGACGGGATGGGGGAGTTAGGGTGCTGGGTGCAGGAGAGGACGGGGCAGGCGTGCAGTGGGGACCAGCCCCCACCTGCCATGGGACAGGGTCCTCAGTGGCTCAGACCATTCGCTCAGAGCTGGACCATGCTAGGAAGTGCAGGGAAAGGCCTGGGGCCCGCGTGTTTGCCTTGTGCGGGGCATGGGTTCTGTGCGTTGATGTGCAAGGTATGAGCTGTCGCCTCCCGAGGCCGCCCTGAGCGCGGGGGGCATGGGTGCTGGCATGGGTGCTGCGTGCTGGGTCTCCCCTCGCCTAGCACTGCTGTGCTTCCTGAGGGCACTTTGGCTGCTGTCGTTATGCGTCTCGAGGCACTGGACCCTGGGAAGGAGCCCTGAGTCTTGCTGTGCGCTGTCTGGGGATGCACAGGCACAGCCGGGCCTAACTGCAGATACTGCCAGGGCATGGGGCATAAAGCTGCTGGCCCCCTGCCACCACCCAGGGCCACCATGGTTCATCATGAGGGTGTCGGCTCTTTGTCCTGGGAGAGACCCATCTCCTCCAGTGGCCACAGCCAACATGCACTATTTATTGGAGGGACAGATGAACCCCAGGGTGAGGTGCACAGGCCTGGGTGGGCAGCAGTTGCAGCTCAGAGCAGGGGCCATGGCTGCAGCCAGAGCAGCTTGAACTGTTGTCGGTAGGTGGGGCCCCTCGCTGGCCACGTGTGCACCGTGCAGGGGAGGTGGGAATGGGCCGTGGGCACTGTGTGGAGAGGCACCGGGGGCCACAGCTTCCCACTGCTCAGTGAGCCAGGGCAGAGGTTTCTCTTACAGTTAAATTTATCTGAATTTGAAAGGCAAAGTTTGGAGAGACTGACAGATCTGCCAGCTCACTTGCTAGATGGCCTTTAACAACTGGAGTGAGCAGAGCCTAAGCCAACAGGACACAGGGTCCCAAGCATGTCCTCCGCAGCTTCCCCAGGCCACGAGCAGCGAGCTGGATGGGCAGTGCAGCAGCCGGGCTGCTCCTCTGGGTGTGGACGTTACAAGGCTCGGCTTGACTCGCTGCACCACCATGCTGAGTCTGTGCTGTTTCGGGCAGGGTCCCACAATTTTTTCCAGCGCACCCAATCCTAGGGGCCAGGCCCGAGTGCCTGCACAGTGCCCAGTGGCATCTCGCCAGGGAGCCTGGTGTGCTCCTGGAGCAGGCAGCCTCGTGCTCCACATTCTGGTTCCGTTTTCTGTAGCCCCGCAGAGCACTACAGCAGGGAGTGCTCGTGGGGGTTGGGCCTGCATTGCTCCCTTCCCCGGGAGGGACCCTAGTGCCACATGGAGGCCTTGCTGCATGTGTCAGGTGGGCTTTGTGGCTGTGCCCATGCCCACTGCCCACTGCCCACGCAGAGGGCAGCACTGACTTGGTAAGCCTGTTGCTGAAATGTTTCCTGATTCTGCTTTCCAGGTGATTGAAAACTCAGCCTCAAAACCCCACTAGTCATGGTAAGCTGCTTCCCTGGGTTGTGCACTCAAGGGGCTGTGGGACACAGGGTCGTGCAGCTCGGCTGCAGCCCACCAGGGGCAGCCTGTGGACTCAGAACCAGGCCCTCCACCGGCCAGGGCGATGCGCGGCCCTTCCTCCAGGCAGTGGCTCCCCGGCCCCATTATAGCCTGCGGGGTGCTGCTCCCCGTGAAGCAGCCACACTAGCTGGGGCAGAGTGCCACTGTGAGTGGCGGAGTCAGGCCTGGCTAGCATCTGGATGGGTGACCAGAACCCCAGCCAAGGTGAAGGCCACTGCGGGGTGCCAGTGGGTCCTGGGAGGAGCTGGGCCTCAGCGTGAGGCGTCCCTCAGTGAGGCACAACTGCTGGCAGGAACTTGGGGAGGTGGCCACCCCAACGCCTCCCACCTCTCTTTCAGATTGACCGTGTTCAACAGAAGCCATCCCCAACCCAGCTTAAATTATAAACACAGAGAGTAACCTTGTTCAAATCTGCGTGGTGCTGCTTTGGTAAATACTGTACAGATTTTACCATGGAGAATTTTTTTTTTTAGTTTTTACCTTTTCTTAATTGCCCTTATTCCAAGTGGATGAACACTTTCTACAACCGTGGACCCTTGTAAGATACCGTGCACAGAGCTCACCTTGAAGCTAACGCCCTGGAACCCGACATCTCAAATGCTGCTTCCTTCAGCCTCAGGTCGACCCTTCTCACGTAATGTTCCTCCACGTCAGGCATCTGGTGCAAGACCAAGCGGGAGGCCGGGAACCACAAGTACAAACTGACCGTCTGTGTGTGTAATTTAAAGACTTATTTAAAGAGCCGCAGGCGCTCGAGCAGGCCTGCGAGGGCCCTGTCGGCCGCGATGTCTGACACTAGAAACTAATTGGCTTCATATTTTAGTTGTATTCAAGATTTGAAGATGTATTTTATAGACAAGTTCTGTTTTTGAACTTTGTGGAACTATTCCAATCAATTGACCAGTTATGATGAGTATTTACATTATGAATGTATAATCCAAACATTATTTGTAAAGCCTACAGTATGTTTTTATTACATAACTTTTTTATACAGCGTCTCTGTCTTGACTGTATACCGGAGTCTGAGTTGTCAGCTTGGTCCCTTAAGGTTTCTAGTTACAGACAAAATCATACTGTGATTTTATTTTTACTATGGATATGCTATCAAACTGTGACACACTTACAACTCACTGGTCCTGCATCAGGAGACGGAGTGGGGAGGACTGTATTGAATACAGTTTGTATCTGAATAATCTGTATGGCTTATACAGTTTGTGTTGTTCAGAGATGTCTAAAGTTTGATCTTTGTTTTTTTAAAGATTAAAAAAGCACTTGCCCCACTGTAAATATACAGCATGTAAAATTTATATAGTATATAAACAGCAGCGAAGTCACCAGCCTGTGTCCTTTCTTCACGCGGGAGGGCTCCCCGCGTGGGGGACCTGTCCTCGGCCTTCCTCCACGCGACAGGGTCAGAGCTCTGCCAGGCAGCAGCTGCTGATTTTACCAGCTGTTCACTTTACAACAAAATATCAATATATATTTTGATATTAATAGAGTATTTCTTCATGCAGGCTTTGGGAGTATATACACAATTACAGATGCTCCAGAAATCAATATACATGTACATTATTTACATGTGATAACTCAGTGCTGTAAATACAAAAGGAGAAACCATGGGTGTGGTTTCTGGTCCACATCAGACCTCACTGGGTGGCTAAGCACGTCTAGGTAGATAAGACAGGCATTGCTTCTAGAAGCTTCCCCCATAACCAGCCTCTAGCGGAGCACGCTTGGGGCCACACTCAACTGCCTGGCTGGGTTGGGAACCCTGCAGACACCCGCTGACCCCGAGCAGGGCCTGGCGGGAGCAGCTGGAGGCCGGGCAGCCGCTCTGTCCAGGCCCCTCGGCGCTCCTCTGTACTTGGTCTCCATCAAACTGTCTTTGGCCGGAGAGCTGGGAAAGACAAGTCACTTACAGGTGTGGACGCCAGGCAGGGAGGAACCCCACACGCTGCCGCGACTCCCGTGGCAGTGGCGGGGCTGGCGCGGTGCCGTGACTCGTGCGACAGCAGCAGCTCCACGTGGGCCCGGACACAGCTGGCGGGCACCGCTGCTCTGAGGCAGATCCAGGCTCCCCACTCCCAGTGCCACAGGACCATCCAGGGGGACGGGCAGAGGCAGCAGCCTGTCCATAGGATGTGTCCCTTGGGTGGGGGTCCGGCAGCAGTCCTGCTGGGGCAGGCCGAGGCCCAGTGGCGCCCACGCCGCCCAGGCACTTGAAGGATGCGTGGTGGCTGTTCTCCCGTGGAGTGTTGCGACAGTCACGATCCCGGAGGCCCAGAACAGGAACAGGCCTGGGGCCGGAGGAGCCGCGGCCACTCACCCTAAGTGCAACATGGCCACCTGCTGGATGTGGCTGCAGGGTGCGGCTTCAGGGCAGGGCACCCGCAGGCCCCTGGTGCCGCCCTTCAGGCTGCTCTCTGCCGCTCACCCAAACCACAAGCACGTTGGGGAGTTGCAGGATAAATGCCGGCTATGGTGAACCAGGCCCGAGCCTGGGCCGGAAATGGAGCGCTGGTCACAGCTGCTCGGCCCTGGACACTCGGCTTCCTGTGCAGGCTGTCACCACTTCCCTACTTGGAAGAAGTTGTGAGGCCAGAGGCGAGGGCTGTGCTCCCGCTGCTCCCGCCGCCGGTCACCTCGCCTGGTCCCTAAGGGGCCTTGCCTGCCCCGGCACCCACTGCAAGCCACCTCCAGGAGCTGTGTGTGCCTGTGGGTGTGTGTGCAGTGCACAGCATATACCTGTGTCCAGGAGTTAAATTTATAGCTGCCGTTCTAAAAATACTACTGTTAGAAAGCATCTTTTGTTATAGCTTCAGAGTATAAAAGGCATATAAAAAGCTATAATCCCATATATGAGAAAAAGAATTCTGAATAAAAACAGTGGTAGCTTTTTCCGTTCCCATTTGATATAAAACAGTGGCTTCTAGAATGTTAGCACCACCCAGCCCAGCACGAGCAGCTGGCTGTGGCCGCGTCCAGGTGGGTGGGGAGCGCAGCGCCGTGACCCCGGGCGCCGCGCAGGGTCTGCTGCCCCCTGCAGGCTGCCAGCGGAGGCGCGCCGAGGGGTCAGTGCTGCGGGGGTCGGTCCGTCTGCCTGCTGCAGGAGCCAGGGCAGTTCTATTTCTTATTGGCAATCCTCCTCTTCCTCGTGGCCAGCATGTCATAGAAGGGGTCCCTGCTGATACTGGCCCTGGGGGAGGAGGAGAGCAGAGGTCCAGGACCAGCCCCCACTCCCCTGCCCCTGAGCCCGGCCAGCCCACAGCCCACACTCACTTGATGGATTTGATCCACTCGTCCTTCTCCTCGGGGCTGGGCGCTGAGATGCGGTACACCACGTGGTTGCCCTCCACCACACGGCCATCAGCCTCGGTCTTGCAGGCCTTGATGACCTGCCCTTTGTGGCTCGGGTTGTAAAGCTCAAAGCAGTTCTGGGGGTGAAGAGGGGTGCTGTCAGGGGGCGCGTGGGCCCCACAGGGGGCTAGGGCATGAAGGGGATGGTGGTGGGGTTGGTGCTCACAGGTTTCCGTGGGTCCTCCACCTCTCTGATGCTGAGGTTCTCCAGCGGGATGATGCCCCGGGGCTCCTTGTCCTAGGACAGAGCACAGGACCAGTGTCAGGCCGGGCCCGGGGTGCGGGGCACGGGGGGCAGGGCCCGGGGTGCGGGGCGCAGGGGGCAGGGCTGCCACCTACCGTGGTGAACTCGAAGTAGTAGAGGCAGTTGTCGGTGAGGATGAACCAGCGCCGCTTCCAGGTCTTCACGCGGCCGCCTACGAGCAGAGGGGCGGGTGAGGTGGGCGCCAGCGGCCAAGAGCCTGGGGCCGGGGACCCCACAGGGGCCTGCTTTGTCAGAAGGGCTTCCGAGAGCCCCGCTGGCATCTCCACCTCCTCCTCGGGAGCATGGTCAACATTGCGAGCACGGTCCTGGGCAAGCTGTGTGGCTCTGGCCATCCAGGGCCCCACATGCACCCTCACCCCCGGGGCGCACAGCTGCCCTCTCCACGGCCACCCGGGGTCGCCCAGATGACCCATGACTCTGGCTTCCTGGAAGAGTTAGTTGGGATGGACAGGCGTAACCCCATGAAATGGCAACAGGATGAAGTCGGTGCTGGCTGACCGGTCCGTCAGGCCTCACCCGCCATGCGGGCACGGTGAGCGCGTCAGTATTTACACAGCCCTGCGATCCATCAAAACTAGGCCCCCTCGCCCGCCTGGGCCATTAGGAGATTGAATTACTTCTCTAACAAGGTAGAGAGCGAGCACACACAGACACAGACACACACACACACACACACACACACACACACACACACACACACACACACACGCGCGTGTGCACTCAGCCCAGCGGGAGCAGCCCCACTGCCCACCACGCTGGCCCTGGCTCCTGACCTGACACCACACAGGTCAGATGACCCTGCCCCTGGCCACAGCCTGAGCCCCCAGCACCGGGCGACGTGGCTGTCCCTGTCCTTCACTGACCCCGGGAAGCCATGGGGAAGGCCCAGGATCAGGGGAGATGCTGTGACAGCTGCTCCTGGGCTACCTGAGCCCCAGCTTCTTGGCAGGCAAGGAGATACACTGCAGGGAGCCCCCTGGGGCCCCATATGACCACCTAACCCCAGTCCGGGTGTGGCTTTCATCCCCAGAGCTCCCAGGAGTCCCTGACCCAGCAGGGCCCCAGCCCTCCTTTCTGAGCCAAGGTTATCTCTGCCCGCACGACCACAGCCACGTTCACCAGGTCCGGTGGTGAGCTGGGGACGGGCAGGCTTCCGGTGGAGGGAGGAGGAGGCCGAGCCTGTGCCCTCCAGGGCGCCTAGGCTGTGACAGCAACAGCCCCACCCTTCACAGACCCCAGGCATGGAACCAGGTCCTTGGCAGCTGCCAGCCCCGTCTCTGCCAGGCTGCTCGCAGCCACCAGCTTGGCGGGCTCTGCCTGGCACTTGCTGCCTGGCTGACAGCAGGTCCTCTGAGGCTCAGAAGCCCGGGGATCACTGTCCAGCCTTTCCTTTCGTTCCTACTAAAGGGAGCAGGCTGGGCCTGGCTGGGCCTTGGTTCAATGGGCACCAGGGTCTGCCATGTCGCCATCAGCAGCTGCCAGAGAGGAGGGGTTCCTAGAGAGGCCTGAAGCTCCCAGGGCACCCCGTTCACCCAGGGATCAGGGTGCCCTGTACCCATCCCATGGACGGGAGCTGGACCCTCACGACGGGCATTCACTGTCTCAACAGAAGTCCTGCTTCCCCACTGCTGGCACGCGGCTCACACATGCCCGCTCACGCATGTGCACACGTGTAACTTCCCCCTCCACAGCAGTGCGCCTTGGACCACATCCTGCTGCGTTTGCACAAGCCCAAGCTCAGGCCATTTGTGGACAACCGGGTAACTCCAGGGGATGCCGATGCGCCTGCACGCTAACACCCACACCACAGCCTGCGCTACAACGGAACCAGCTGTGTGGTCACACCTGCCCAAACACACAGCTGGGGGACCACGTTCTGGATGCCACCCCACCTGCAGCCGAGGCCCGTGCCCGGCACGCCTGCCTACACGTCAGTGCAGCAGAACCTCCCTCCAGCTCAGCACCCCCAGCTGCCCTCAGCTCTCTGGCGACTGACCCCCGCCTGCTGTGGGCTGGTGCCAGGTCTGAGGGGGGAGCAGCCTGCCTCCGCAAAGAGCTCACCCTCCTGGCCCCTGGCATCCCGGTCTGCCCCGCTGCCACCGCTGGCATGCAGCCTCTGGCTTCAGCCTTCACCCTCGAGGGCAGTGGACAGGAGACCGTGCCTGTCAGGCCCTGCCAGGCAGAGCCATGCCCTCCCGGCCATCTACAGGCTACCTCGGCCCCACCCTGCGTACTGCTGCTTGGGCCAGCTCAAGTTCAGCACAACCACACAGATGCGCCACGCACAGAGCTGCTCCTCCACGCACAGAGCTGCCCCACGGCTGGCCCGGGTAGGAATGGAGCCGCTGCCCCTGGGGGAATCCGTGCATCAGTCAGCCGGGGCTGCAGGGTAGCTTCCAGGCCAGGCTCTGGGCAGAGGCCCACAGCCTGCAGAAGGCCGGCGGAGACCCGGCAGGGAGGGAAATGCCCTGGGCAGAGCTCATGGTGGACCCATGGGCGCTCCCAAGCCTGTCAGCTACCGTGGCTGGGCAGAAGATCCCCTCAGCCTACAGCCAACACCTGCCTCAGGGGAGCTGTGGGAGGTAACCATGCCTTTCTTTGGCCTCGGGCAGCAGGCTCCCTACACCAAGCTCCAGTCCCAACCCCCAGTCGGCCTTGAGCCTGAGCTCCTAGGACGCCCATCGGGCGTGGAAGCCACTCGACGCCCGGTGGTCCCAGCACCTGCGAGCATGCATGGCGGGTTAGTCTGAGGGCGGGGGGCTGAGGGCCAGGCTGGGTCTCGGTTCCTCTCGGCTGCAGGCGGCTCCGGGCCCTCGACCACACCGTGCAGGACGCTGAGCCCAGCGCGTCCAAAGCCACATGGATCAGATGGATGGCAGCCACAGATCGGAGCATCACACAGACCAACGTGAGGGACAGGACCCGGAAGAGGAAGGGGCCGCCGCGGTGAGGCGGGGCGGGCGCCACGGGTACGTACCTCCTAACGCAGGACAAGCAGGGACAGCCCGGCACAGAACAGAAAGGTGAGAGCCACAGGCAGAAGGGAGACAAGAAGGCACATTGAAAGCAGTCATCAGAAATGCAGCCGCACAGACCAGAGGGAGGCACGGGGCCGTCGGGCGCGAGCAGACGGCTGCCCGTCCGGACCCTGGCAGCGCGGGGCCAGGCCTGGCCGACTGCTCTTCCTCTCTAGGGTCCGCGGTGGTGGGCCGCGGGCTGGGGGCCACGCCGGGGGCGCGTGCGGGCAGCTCACCCAGCTTCAGCAGCCAGCCCTCCCGGTCAGGGTTGAAGAAGGTGTGGGTCAGGTCGTTCCCGTCGTCCTCGGGGATCTTAAACGGCTCGTTCTTGATGCTTTCGTACAAGTTCTGCGGACGGAAGAGCAGCAGCTGGTGAGCGGCCGAGGCCCTCCAGCGCTTCCAGGCCACGAGGGACGGGCGGCCACGAGGGACGGGCGGCCACGAGGGGCGGGCGGGCGGCCACGAGGGACGGGCGGGCGGCCACGAGGGACAGGCGGCCACGAGGGACGGGCGGCCACGAGGGACCGGCGGGCGGCCGGCGCTCACCCGCAGCAGCTCCTCGGGCAGGTCTCCGCCCTCGTTGATGCCGCGGTTCATGGTGATGAAGCGCTCGGCCGTGGGCTTGTCGCGCACGTTGTGGTTGTGCAGGCTCGTGTTGAGCATGATGATGGCGAACGACAGCACGTAGCAGGTGTCTGCAGCGGGGCGGACAGCAGCTCAGCGTGGGGACAGCCCCCCAGGAGGACCCTCCCCAGGGCCCGGTGCAGGGGCCTGGCCTGCAGGCTGTCCTCACAGCCAGCAGGCCTGCGGGTCACAGGCCAGGCGTGTCACAGGGCCCTCCTGTGGGCTCAGGGGCAGGCCAGGGCCACCCACCTGTGGACTGGAAGACGCCGGGGTTGCAGAGGCAGTAGCGCGCAGCAAAGGCCTCCATCATGCGGTCAATCTTCTGGGCCTCCCCAGGAAGCCGGAAGCTCCACAGAAACTGCCTGCGGGAAGAAGGTTGCTGCTTCCTCCCGGGCTTGGGAAGGGGAGCCCCTGGCAGGTGGAGACTCTGGACCTGGGCACCGGCCTTCGGGAGCCCGGCCGAGGGGGCCACGGGCATCTGGGGTAGCAGCTAAGAGGCCACAGGGCCTGGGTTTGAGTCCCGGCTCTGCCTCGTGCAGGCAGCAGTGATGGCTCAAGCCGCTGGCTCCCCGCTTGGGCCTGGCTCAGGCCCAGCCCCTGCAGGCATCTGGGGGCGCAAACTAGCAGACAGAAGCTCCCCATCAATGCAATCAAATTAAAGCAAAACACGTAGCCCCTGGGGCTCTTGCCCTCACTGTTAGCGACCCTGGCACCTCGAGGTGGTCTGCTGGGCCTGCTGTGCCCACAGCTGCAGCCACGGGGTTCTCCTTCCAGACCAGCAGGACCTGCCACTGCTCAGGGACCTGCCACAAGCTGGGGCTCAGGTCTGCCCCGGCGGCCCACCTGCGCTGTGAGCCATCCCGGCAGCCAGCGCCCCGCCTGGGGTTCCCCAGGCAACAAGACACCTACCCTACCAGTGCTGCCTAACATTGGGCTGGAGCAGAACCAGGGCCTGGCCTGCTCCCTGTGGGCAGCGTGCCTCATGCCAGCTGTTCCACAATGCCGGCTGCTGCAGTGATTTCAGCGCAGGACGGGGTGGAGGGGGGTCAGGGGAGGGCTGAGGTGGGCACGGGTGGGGCTGAGGTGGGCACGGGCGGGGCTGAGGTGGGCACGGGTGGGGCTGAGGTGGGCATGTATGGAGTTGAGGTGGGCTTGTAGGCCCTGAATACACTGCCAGGCACTCGGATGCTGGGACACTGATCCTGCCTTCCAGAAGCTCCAGCTCTTGCCCAACCCTCTTCTCCCACAGGGTTCCCAGGGGGTGCTTCATGCCTCGCCCCACTGCCCAGTCACAGCCCTCTCAGCCAGGACCGCCCCAACGGCCGGCAGCTGCCTGCAGAAGGCAGATCCGCACAGCAGCTCCCCTGCCCCAGATCCCATCTCCTTCATGAGGAAAGCCAGAGCCTTCCCAGCACGCAGAGCAGCCTCGTCCTGCCCAGCCCTTTGTCCACAGCCTCAGTGACTGCCATGGGCTCTGTCTGGAGCCCAGACCTGTTGCAGTGGCTTCTCCGGGGATTTGCTGGCAGCCCCTGGTGCTGGACCTTGGTGCAGTAGCCGCAGACACATATCCGACTCCCCAGCTCTGCACCTGTCTCTACCTGAATCAACCCGGGCAGAGGCTGCTGGAGCCAGTGGCTGAGTGCAACCCCACCAACACCGCCCCGTGCACTCACGTAGGTCAGAGAAAACGGTCCATATCAGCCAGAGCGCAGCACGGAGCGGGTCTGAGAGGCAGGACCCAATGAGCTGTGGCCACGACCCTCTACTCCAAGGGCCAGCTGGCGGCTCCCTGTAGAGGCCTGTTCCTGTCGCTCTGCCCGTGAAGGCCCTGCTGTCCCTAGGCAACGGCTCAGGGTCAAGACCAAGAGGCCCAAGCCAGACAGCAGAAGGAAACAGCCAGACCTCTTTCAGCAGTGGGAGTGGTGCCTAGGAGCGCTTCAGACCCCTAACAAAGGTGTCCCCCTCTGGATTCTGCATTGACACAGGGGACAAGACTGGGGCCTGGTGGTGGTTTCTGCTGGTGGGAGAGTCATACCCTCCCGGGCACTCTGGGAGAACTGTGTGCCTGGTGCTTGGAGCCCAATCAGGTGGGAAGCGGGCCCGGGGGTGCCAAGGCCACGACCTGCAGAGCAGGCTGTGTGGGCAGGGGGCCTCGGTGCCAAAGGCAGCCAGGGCCTACCTGCAGGGCATGCAGGAGGGCATGCAGGCCACGTGCAGGTGTGACCCCGCCCTGCACACGTGTCCACGCCTGCCTGGAGTGGCTCAGAGCATCAGCACTGTCGAGGCCTGTGCCTGGAGTGACCAACAGGAACCTGGGCAGGTGCCGCCTGCACCTCGGCGGCTTCAGGACACCTACCTCAAGGCCTGGACGAGGTTGAGGTCCGCGAACTCATGAAGCTCAACGAAGGCCTGAAGCACCTTGATGTTGAACTCGTCCCTGGGGAGGACAGGAGGTGGCTGTGAGTCAGGGCTGCGCGAGCGGCTCAGACCCCTACTCCCTGGGACCCCATGGCCCCAAAGTCCCTGTGTGCGCCTTCAGGCGGTGACACGTGCTGTGGGGTCCAGGCTCCCCTGCGCCCAGCAGGTCCCATGTTTCTGGAGGGCCGAGCCCCGCTGGGTGTCTGGGGCCCAGCTGTAACCCCTGTCTCCTGGGCTCTTGGCTCAGTCCTGGGCCATGTCCTGCTGGCCTCACGGGAGGACCACTTCCTCTCTGGGCTAGAACCTGCACTAAAAGCTAGCAGCAGAAGCCAGTGGCTGTGCAAGCACTGGGCTTTGGTACAAACTGTCCTCTCCTGTTCTGGGACGAAGACCCTCTGGTGCCACAGGCCTGGGCCCGCTGGCATCCTGCCCTCACCTCTGCCAGGAGCAGTGAGTGGACTTCTCAGTGGAGGAGGCCAGGCAGGTAAAAGCCAGCCACCTTCTACATAAAAACGAACAGTAACCTTTAGGACTGTCATTCTGGTGGTTCTGGCCAAACATGAGCTGAAGCTGCTGACAAAGGTGGGCAAGGCAGAAGCCCCACTCTCATATCCCGCACGCCCGAGACTCGGCAAGCCCAGTCGGCCCCTGCACCCAGAGGACACACACAGCGGCCAAGCGTGCCGGGCCCACGGCAGGGCTGGGAGGAGCAGCAAGTGCGTGCACAGCTGGAACGGGCCCTGAGATGGCCTGGTCAGGCTGCTGCCCTGCCTCACCTTTCCCCCAGGTAGTCCCCGACGACCGTCTTATTCAGGCCTTCTCCTTTGTAGAGGAACTGGGCGACGTCTTCCGGTGAACTCTGCAGCAGGTCGTTTTCTACCAGAAACTGAATTCCCTGGGAATGTTGGGGTGGGCTGGTCAGCAGGGTCACGCCAGGCTGTCACTTGGACCACAGCCTGGCAGGGCACATGGCGGCGGCAGCTCCACCCCCACGCCCCCGCTGTGTCACCCAGCAGAGCAGGGCACGGTTGGGGCCTTGTGTGGGAACAGAACAGCGGCCGCCACCCGCAGCCTTCCCACCTGTGGGGGCGAGGGACATGCTATTTGTGGTGGACACTGTAGTGGGCCTGTCCCCTCTCCCAGCATCCTCGCTCAGAACTGGAAATAACCTCATGACTGGATCTGGCCAGAGATGGACACCCACACGGGACGCCTGGGCAGGTGGGCAAATCCCCAGAGAGAGGGGCCCAGAGGGTCGGCACTGCTGTCGCTCCGCATGCCTTGAATGCAGTGTCTAAGGTGACCACTTACTGATTTGACAGGCAAAGTCAGCAGGAGCGCTGGGGAGCAGTCAGAATCAGAAACAGACCACCTGCCGGCTCACTCCCTAAATGGACACAGCGGCCGGGGCTGGACCAGGCCAAAGCCAAGATCTTCCAGGTCTCCCACGTGGGCACATGTGCCAAGGACCTGGGCACCTTCTGCTGCTGTCCCAGACATCAGTAAGAACTGGATCAGAAATGGAGCAGCCAGCACTTGGCAGCGGTGCCCACGTCAGATGCTGGAGTCGCCGGGACAGGCTCACTCCCACTGTATCCAGCGCTGGCCCCTCACAAGGGGACATGAGGAGCTTGGGGCTGGTGCTGCCATGGCTACGGTGGCTGTGTGAGCACACCAGTGCCAGGTGCATGCCTTCTTACCAATTTACTGCTATCCCCAAGGCCAAAACCCCTGCCAACTGACACACTGGGCAACCAAGCCAACTCCACTTAGACCCCACGCCTACCTGAAGTGCCCACAAAGCTGCATAAGCATCTCTGAACCCCAGGGCCGCAGCTGGCTCGACTGGGCGACTCAGTGTGCCAAGTATCAGAAGGCCCGGGACCCTGACAAGAAGCTGTCCCGGAGCGTGGCTTCAGAGCCAGTCAGAGGCCCCGAGGGCGCAGGAGGCTGTGTCTGCGGTGGGAGCAGCACCTCCCACACACACATACTCCCACGTCGGGACAGGGCTTCCACCCACCCCCAGTCCATCTGCAGGTTTGCTATTTTCACAACAACACAGCACAGCCGGAGCAGCCCAAGAATTTCCAGAAACTGGAAACAACCCAATCGTCGGGCAGTGAGAGAAGAGGCAGACTCAGCCTGGCTCGTGTGTGCCTGCAGGCTGTGGCTGCCGGGGTAGGACGAGTCTCACAGCCGTGGCGGGCGAGAGGGGAGGAAGACGCGGCAGCTGTGACCTGATCCCACAGGGAGGCAGCGGTGCCACACAGCGTTCCCCATCAGGGATGCAGGAACATCCTGGGCTCACACGGGAGGCGACCCTGCAGCAGCACAGGGCGTGTTGGTGGGCACTGGGCTGGAGCGCTGGACACAACCCATGCGCCCGCACCATGAGCCCAGGTGCGGCTGTCAGAGCTGGCGACCGCAGTGGCTGCCGAGTGCTGCCCGCTGATCCCTGCCTGTGCCCGCAGCCCAGGCTCACCAGGAGCGAGGCCTGGAAGGGATTCTGCTGCAGCGTCAAGATGAGCCCTGCCAACCCTGTATTGGCCCCATAGCAGGCATCAAGCCCCAAGGCCTCAGCCTCCAGGGCCAGGGGTGCCTGCCTGCGCCTCCCTGCCTTGTTCTGGCCTGCTTGGACCGCTCTGGCTTTGACCCACTTTCCTGATGGTGCAGACTCACTCTGCTGTGTGCGACCCAGCACCTGCTGAAGCCAAGCTCATCTCCCCTCACTAGAAAATTCTACCCCCTGCTCTTCAGCTCCGCCTTTAGGGCCTGTTAGTCTGATGCATCCAAGTCTGGGTCTAAACTAAAGGCTTACCTGCCTGGCCATGGGCGGGGCCTTGGAGTCTGAGGATTTCACCTCAGTCTGGTTATAAAACAGTCCAAGATCTCCTTAAGGCGCTCTCTCCCCTCCAGCTCCACTGTCTCCTCCGGGACTTTTCTCTCTCACAGTCTGGGCTGCAGGATCCACATGCCGTGACTGAGTCCTGGGCAAGGCTCCCCCTTTCCTGGCTGCAGGGACACCCAGGCTCGGGCCTGAGCCCCCAGCCAACCTTCTCCCAACCTCCAGGACAAGTGCTTCTCCCGCTCGGGTGAACCACGGCCCACACAGACGCCCTCTGGGAAGGCGCCTTTCCTCCTCCCATGCACTGGTGCCCCTCTCAGCGTGTGCGGGCACACAGCTGGGCATCCCTCTCAGGAGAGCCACTGGCAGCCCAAGCACGCCCTGCATCTCTATAGAGCAAGAGTGGGGGCTCTCCGAGTGGCCCCGAGCCAGGATGCCAGTGCATGGCTCAGCAGACAGGATGGGGCAGCCTGCTGCAGCCCTGCACCCCACTGTCTGGGCACTCCGTGCCCTTACTGACCTGCCCATCTTAGGAGGGCACCTCAGCCTCAGCTGCTTACGGGCATCTCCGTCTTCCCACCACACCTGAACGGGGACTGACAGGGAGCAGCCCACCAGGAAAGCTGGCCTCATCAGGCGCCCCCCGTGGACTCTAGCAGCCTGTGGCCTGCAGCACTGCCACCCGAGAGCTCTGCGCGTCCCTCCTGCTCTGTCTCTGCTCCGTGGGTCACAGGGACACGGGGCGGGTGACCGTCAACAGCTCTGGAGCCTGCAAGGCTGTCTGCTGTGGCTCTGCAGGGACCACTTGTGTGTCTCCCATCCCATCCCAAAGGTCGCCTGAACCCAACCCCAAATGTGATGACTGTTGGAGGAGGGCCTGCAGAAGGGCATTAGGGCTGGGACAGGGCCCTGGCCATACAGGGCTTGTGTCCTTAAAGAAAGACACCCCCTAGAGTGAGTGAGCTGCACAGTGCCCTCCCCAGAGCCCCGCCTGGCTGGGTCCCTTGCCTCACCGCTCCAGCCCAGGCCATGGTGCTCTGCTTCTGCAGCCTGAGGGGCCATGCCCACAGAACCAGCAAGATCCCCATGTAGACTCATTGTGCCACTTACTTCTTTTAAAAAAAAAGACTTTCATTTTTTGTTTCAAAGGCAGAAGGAGGGACAGAAAAAGAGATCTCGCACCTGCTGGTTCAGTCTTCAAATGGCTGCACCAACCAAGGCTAGGCCAGGCCGAAGCTAGGACTCCACCTGGGCCCCCCACACGGATGTGGGGGCTGAATCATCTAGTCTATGTGCCTTGCCAGGTGCATCAGCAGGGAGTTGAATCAGAAGCAGACAGCTAGACTGCAATCATCACTACGCAGGGGATTAACCTACTGTGCCACAACACTGCCCCATCTGCTTTCATCAAACAAAATAACCAAGTTACCAAACTGAATTAATAATACTCAAATAGTGAGGTGGGAGTCTGGCATGGTAACCTAGTGGCTAAATCCTCACCTGGCAACTTCCGGAAATCCATATGGGTGCTGGTTTGTCCCCTGGCCACTCCACCTCCCTTCCAGCTCCCTGCTTGTGGCCTAGGAAAGCAGTGGAGGTTGGCCCCAAGCCTTGGGACCCTGCACCATGTGGGACACCCCGAAGAAGCTCCTGGCTTCAGGCTGGCTCAGCTCCAGCCGTTGCGGCCACTTGGGGGGGAGTGAACTGGAGGATGGAGGTTCTTTGTGTCTCCTTCTCTGTAAATTTGCTTTCCCAATAAAAAGCTTTAAAAAAACAATTAGAAAATAGTGAGGATGGTCTTGGCGTGCTTGTAAGACACCACTGGGTCCTCACCACCCCATCAGAGTGCCTAGACCGAGTCCAGCTCCACTTGTTGCTGCAGTCCTACGTGCAGCCTGGCAGGCGGGGTTCTGTCCCGCGTGGGAGGCTCAGATGCAGCTCTAGGTGGGGTTCTGTCCCCCGTGGGAGGCTCAGATGCAGCTCTAGGTGGGGTTTCTTTGGGTCTATCCTGGCCCAGTTCCAGCTGCTGTAGGCATGTGGGAAGTGACCCAGCAGACGAGAGATATTTGTCTCTGTCTCTTTCAAATCAAATGAAATGATAGGGTCCTGTGTGGTGATTCAACAGGCTAACTCTTTACCCGCAAGTGCCAAAATTCCGTATGGGCACTGGTTCATGTCCCGGCTGCTCCACTTCCAATTCAGCTGCCTGCTTATGGCCTGGCAAAGAGGTGGAAGACAGCTCCAGGCCATGGGACCCTGCACCCATGTAGGATACCTGCAAGAAGCTCCTGGCTCCTGGCTTCAGACTGGCTCAACTCTGGCCCAGTAAGGCCATTTGGGCAGTCAACCAAAGAGAAGGGAGGTTTTGTTTTTTGTGTTTTTCTGTTTTTCCTCTTTGTAAATCCGCCTTTCCAATAAAAATGATTTTTTCTTTAAAGAGAAGAGAATGAGAATTTTTGAAACTGTATTAGGAAAAGAAGGATGCAAAAATGAAGCCTATGGAACAACTCCCCACATAATCCAGGCAAAGCAGACAGAAGCCAACTTCCCTGGACATGGTCCTGGCTGCCCTGGCCAGACCCAGGCTTATCCCAAAGTTTCCTGGGGCACCTGCCCTGCTCAGGGGAATGCCACGGATAAAGACACCATGGCTGGCTCGGGCTCCCGAGTCGGAACAGTCCTCGCGAGGCTGCTGACACACAGCACCTGCCCAGGGGCCGCCCTCACTACAGACCTGATGCAGGGCAACTGGGTCACAAGAAGACGGGCAGTTACAGGCCAGGTGGACGGCAGGTGCACGATGGGCCTTTAGGCTCAAGGGATTACAGGGTGAGGTGAGGTGAGGTGAGAGGTGAGGAGAGGAGAGGAGAGGTGAGGAGAGGCGAGGAGAGGCGAGGAGAGGTGGGACGGTCTCACCCCATCAATGTTTGTCTGGTTATGGATGATTTTGCCCTAGCTCTGTGCCGTGCCCCCCAGGGCTCTGCAGCCAGCAGACTGAAGCGCTGCTGGTCGAGCTCCCGTCTTCCCGCGCCTCTCAGCCTTTCAGACACAGTGCGAACCATGTGTTTGAGAAAAGGTACAGTGTTCACGGCACCCACTTCTTAAACACCCCAAAATGCTGCCTCCTGGTGTGACAATTCAACACTGTGAACCTGACAATTACTAACCCAGAGGACCACACTGGTCCTGTGGGAGCGAGCTTCTCATACCCAAAATAAATCTGAGAGAAGCTGACTCGGAAGGCAGAGCGTCGCCACGGGCTCGGGGTTTGGAGCTCACAGTTCTGGTGAGCGGCCCCTGGCCCTGGCCTGGCGGGGCAGCGGAGGGGGGATGGGGTTGACAGGAAGTGGAGAGAAAGCAGCTGAGTGTGAGAGGCTTCCAGAGCAACTGCCCCGGGCCTGTCTTCCAGGGGCTGGGCCAGGGACCCCAGGCCCTCAGCAGGCTCACCCGCTATGCACTGCACTCGGGCTGGATCCCCCAGAGCGTCACCTTGGGGTCACCCTTTAGCACAGCACACTGTGGGACAGGGACGCGAGGACCCCACACTTGCATTCCCTTTTAGACTTGCTCTATGCCTGAGGCAGAGCTTCAGGAAGGCACTGCAGAGGTGCTGTGCCCAGACCCAACGTCACTACTACGAGCTATGAGCAGGAGACAGTAAGAAGCGTGTCAAACTCAGCAGCAACGGCCCTGGCCCTGGCGGGGCTCGGCCACAGCAGAACTCCTGCAGGCAACAAACATCTACTGAATGAGCAAACAATTAACCAATTAGTACAGAGGCTCAGCGCCAGGAGAGGCCAGGAAAACACCAGCGTGAACAGCAGCCCAAGACCACAGGCAGCAGGGGCTGGGCTGTGGACGCCTTCCATGTCACGCAGGCCTTTCCCTCAGCTAGGAGCCTGTGGCACAGCGTGCTTAACCGCCACCTGTGGTGCCAGCATCCTATACAAGTGTTGCAAGCCGCATCTGTATGCACTGGCCACATGCCGTACCTAAAATGGCGCCGGCCGGAGAAGCCACACCTTCGTGCGTGGTGGAGAGTCATGTAGCTTTCGCAGTACTGCGCAGGCGCCTAGCGCATGCGCAGTGAGCTGCGGCGTGGCCTGCACGTGAACACTGGGGATTGACGAATCTGGTCGCCCAGGACCCTGCGTGATCATGACGCTGACCTATCATCGGCGGAGGCGGGGCCGGTCAGCACATAAGAGCAGAAAGCCTGCCGGGGTCCCCCCCTTTCCCTCTTCCACATGTTGGTGTGCACAATAAATTTTACCGCAGAAGACTTCACTCGCGTCTGCGTCTTATTGCGGGACAATAAGACACGTGGGCGCGACATACAAGCACTTCCCATCCAGCTCCCTGCTAACATACTCAGGGAGGTGGAAGATGGCCCACGTGCTTGACCCGCCACAGGCTCCTGGCTCCAGCTTGGCCCAGCCCTGCTGCTGCAGCCTCCTGGGGGGTGAGGCAGCAGAGGAAAGATCTCTCCTTTCTCCCCTTCCCTCTAACTTTGCCTTTAAATAAATAATGAAAGGAAAAAAGGAAGCAAGCAAGCAAGCAGGCCCAGTGCTGTGGCCTAGTGGCTAAAGTCCTTGCCTTGAACACGCCAGGATCCCATATGGGCACCGGTTCTAATCTCAGCTGCCCCACTTCCCATCCAGCTCCCTGCTTGTGGCCTGGGAAAGCAGTTGAGGGCGGTCCAAAACCTTGGGATCCTGCGCCTGTGTGGGAGACCAGGAAGAGGCTCCAGGCTCCTGGTTTCAGAATGGCTCAGCTCCAGGGGTTGCAGTCACTTGGGGAGTGAATCAATGGACAGAAGATCTTTCTGCCTCTCCTCTTCCGTATATCTGACTTTCTAATAAGAAATAAATAAATCTTGGAAGGAAGGAAGGAAGGAGGAAAGGAAGGAGGGAAGGAAACAAACAAACAAACGGGAGGAGAAAAGCACAGACTGTGCGCCCGGGCTCCGGTGGAAGCTGCCAGGCCTTCAGCTCACACACGGGCCGCTGCCTGTTTGGGGTTCAGTGCTTTGGGATGTTCTCAAGACAGCTCGTGAGGCAAGGCTGAGGGCGTGCTTCCTGCAGACACTGCCGTCCTAAGGGGGTGTGAGAGGGTAGACCCTCCGAGCTGATGTGTGCACACAGGTGCTGCCCCCAGCTCTGTCCTTGCTGACCTCCTCTGGGGGTCACTCAGGGGGCTCCTCACCCTTGAGCAGCCCCCTCTTGCAGCTCCAGTCTGAGCATGTTCAACCCAAATCATGACAAATCACTCAACTGCCGTGTGCCAATGAGGTCTCACTCACCTTCTTGGGGTCCATGTTGAATTTCTTCCTTCCCATGGCGATCTGCTTGTTCCTCTGGGTAGTCTTGCTGTTGGTGTGAAACAATTCAAAACCATCAGCAGCATTCTCAGAGCGGTCAGCCCGGACCGGCACACGTTCCCCCCAGCCACCAAAGCACGGCTCCTCCAGGCCATGGCAAGGCTGGACCTGGGCCAGACGGGAGCTGGGGGAAGAGGGACTGGGGAGGCCCCCTGCCACTCCCCGCAGCCTGTGCCAGCGCCCAGCGTGCACACGGGGGGGCGGGGGCGGGCGCGAGGTGGGGAGCGAGCCCGGGCTTTACCTCTCCTCCACCGACGTCAGGCTGTCGATCTCCGTCATGACCTCTGCAATCTCACACTTGAGCCTCTGTCACAAAGGAGGCGGCACGTGGGGGTCAGAAGGGGGTCGCCCCAACCCCTCCCCCTCCTGGACTGGGCAGTCAGTCGCCCAGGCCCGGCTTCCTGCAGTCTCCTGGGCATCGCAGGTAGGGAAAACCAGCATCTTCACTGGCCGAGCCAGCACAACTCAGGAGCAAAACTCTGTTCCCGCCTTTCTGTGAGAGGCAGATCAGAGGCAGCAAGGAACTGCGGCAAAGGCCGGGAAGCCCGCATTCCATGTGGGAGTCCCCACACTACTTCCATACCACGGGAAGCAGCCCCTGGTACTTCCTGGGTCCTCTGGCTGCTGTGGGCATCTGGGGAATGAACCAGGGGACGGGACCCTCCAACTCCAGCCCTCTGCTTTTTGAATGTATCTACAAAATCAAGCCGAGGTGCTGGGCCGATGACATCAGCCCAAGTGGAGCCGTGCTTCCTCAGCTCACCGGCAGGCGCGCCCAGCACGGCCTTCCTCCACCCTTCCCGCAGCGATCCCTTCCTTCCAAGAAGCTCAAGGGGAAAGCCAAAAGCCTCCACGGTTGCGTTACTGAGCACATCAAGGTCTGAGTGAGGCTCACCGCTCTGTGACGGGCAAGCATCACAGACAGGGCCTCGGGCAGAAGCCAGAGCTGCCTGGACCTAGCCATAAGCCTGCCTCACCACCCTCTCTTCCCTGCCTGCGGCCCCACAGGTGGAGCCTTCTAGCCCAGCCCCTCACCCCTCTGGGCCTCAGCCATCTGACAGACAGGCAGGTGTCAGAGATCAGCAAGCTTCCAGGTCAATCCACACGCACTTCCCAACGTCCAAGTAGCACACGCTCATCCCGCAGCCAGAGCGCCCACGACCGACTGTCGGACCCCTGACTCCCTCCAGGACAACCGGCAATCCCAGAAGAGAGGTTTTAATGAGTCACCTCCCAGATGAAGACATTTTGACTCAGAACCTTGCTATTCCACATGCCAAGGAACTTCCCATGGGCAGTGTGGGCTCCCAGAAGTTCTTTTCTGGGACTGGGACGGCTCGCAAACAGCCACACGTCAGACACTGCCTCCAGGGAGCCCACAGGGAAGGGGTCCGGGCAGCCGTGGGGGGCTCTGACACGCGCAGGCACGCCAGCTCTGTTCTCCAGCGACTCCTGTGGGGCCTCTGCAGCCAGCCCTGAGCAAGCACACTGTCGTGGCGGGACGTGACCCGGTTTCATTCCCACCAGCCAGCAGGCACTGGGGTCACGGCTGGAACCCAGGGGGGATGGGGCGCACCCATGCATGCAAAGGATGCCTGAGCTCCAAGCACACAGCTGGCGGGGGTCTAGGTGCTGGGGATACTGGTAAACGAAACTGGCTTTCTCACCCAGTGTTGGGGGTGGCAACCCATCAGCAGGTGTGAGGGCTGCTTCAGTGATCACCCATGACTCCGGAGCCCACTGCAAGGCGCCCAGGACCACCTGTCCGCCCTGCTACCCGAGCTTGTACCATGGCTGAATCGCTGAAAGGGACTTTTCTGCTGAGAAAGCTTCAGTTTTCTGGCTCAGTCCACTCACGTGGTTCTTGCACACAACCCATTTTGCGTGGTTTGGGGAAGTTACTCTATTTACTAAAATGTTGCCCAAGCTCAAAAACAAAGATTTTTTTTTTTTACCTCGATGTCATCGATAAGTTCTTTTTTCCTTCGACGAATGTCCAGAAGCTCTTCCCGTTCTTCCAGCGAGAGGTCTTCAGGAACTGGGGAAGAAGCAAAACAGGATCACGCACGGACACCAACACACTGCCACGGAGAGTGAGCCCAACGCGAGAGCGCTGGCTGGACGGCAGCGGGACCTTTCTCTCCAGAGAAGCAGACACCTGACGGCACGGTCGGCCTCCCAGGCACGGGGCAGGAGGACCCCGACACAGCCAGCCTGTGTGAGTGCCCTCCCTGCGGCAGCACCTGGCCAGCTCCAGGTCCGACGACAGGCGTGGGGGCCCCCACGTCACCCAGGCCACCCCGCTGCGCTCAGGGCTCCCAGCACACTGCTCAGTCCTCCTCCCCCAGCCTGGAGAGAAGCCTCTAGTACACGGACCACACACACACACACACACACACACACACACACACACACACACACACGAGCAACAAAGTTAAAAGGGGCTCAGTGGCCACTCCTGGGGCTAACGCTGGGGCCCCCACACCTCAGAACCAAGGGACTGTGTGTGTGTGTAACTCAGAGATGTCAAAATACACATTTCAACTTCAGCTGACTGGGGAAAAATCTGCAGGGAATCATCAATTGGCACAGCCACCTAGCACAGCGATGTGGTAAGGTGTGCTAGTCAGCTGGATGGGCAGGCCACGTGTAAGATACCGGAAGAATTCCTGAGCCCTGCATCAGTGGGTGTGGGTCATGTCAACAAGCATACCTGACAGATGAGAAGACCCACACGCCCGCGCAGAGCGCGTAAACGCTACGTGTACCTACGCAACGGAACCCGAGCGGTAAGCGAATGTATAGTGTTAAGGTAATGCCAGACGTTTCCTTTGCTAATAAGTATCTTTGGTCTTCAATATGATCTTTTTAAGTCTTTTAAAAAAATATTTTAAAGTTAAGCAGAGCTCTTCATTCTTTAGTTTAAAAACCATTTCCAGGGTCTAGCACTGTAGCACAGTGGGTCACGAAGCAACCTGAGACGCTGGCATCCCCTATGAGTGCCGGCTTGAGTCCCAGAGGCTTGGCTTGCAATTGAGCTCCCTGCTAAGGCACCTGGGGAGCCAGCAGAAGTTGGTCACAGTGCTTGGGCCCTGTCACCCAGGTCGGAGACCCTGCTGGAGCACCATGTGCCTGGCTTTCAAATAAACAAAGTTACCACACCAGGTACACTTCGGCTGAGAAAGGTCACAGCTTTTCAGTAACAATCAACTTCCCAAGCAGCCAAGGGCTCCAAGCACTGTGTCTCAGCGAAGTAACCTCCGCAGGCCATGGACATGTCCAGTAACACAAGAGCAGCTTTATTCCCGTCCTCACGGACACTGCGGGCAGCATGGCGAAGACCTCAGGAAAGACTTCATCAAGACACGAGTTAAGAAAACACATGGAAAGCTAATAAACATTCAAACTAAAAGTGATTCTGCAAAAATTGCTGCATTTTCTTCAGATCATTCTTCATAAACAATTTTTGCCCCAAATGGGAAAAAAAAGTGTTTTATAAAGACTTGGGTGATGCATACAATTAATCCAAAATTCCCCTATTTTCCTGTTTTCTGCATGTGGTCTAAGCCTTCATAAGTTCTGCTCGAGCAACCCTCAATGTCAAGCCATCGAAAATGAGGAAATAAACCAGAATTTTCACTTGCCACGCTGCACTGGGCGCAGGTGTGTGAACGTGCTATCTTCTGATTGCCATTTTATAACTAAGGAAACTGGGGCCATCAGAGACCAACAGCTTTTCTCTGACAAGAGGGAGAAGGAAGAAATAAGGACTGGAATTTCTCAAATCTGATCAAAGACACAAACATATAAGCTAGGATGCTCACACACGCCAAGGAGGGCAAGCCTGGGCAGCCCAGAGTCAGGCCACTCGGCAACGCCGCCGAGAGCCAGCCCTCCCCTCCGCCTTCCCAGGACTCATGGGACCCTAAAGACGCCTTCTGACCCCCCAGCGACTTCAGGCATGGGCTTCTTCCCTCCTCCCATCCTCCCATGGCTCTCCCATGGCTCTCCCAGGCTCCCCCGTCGGAGCCCCTCATCTTCCTGCCCCGCCTTGCTCAGCCCTGGCAGTGTTTTCTGGCCCCTGTGGCAGGAATGCCGTCTCTCACACTTGACATTTACTGGGAAGCACAGAGATCCAAATCAAGAGAGGAGGCTGAGAGCTGGGACAGCCTTCAAACCCAGCAACTAAACCACTGGAAGGAGAAAATCAAGATGCTGAATGCTCAGACGGATCAACAGAAGAGCCGTATGCAAGGAACATTGAACTCTCAAAGTTGTGACTCTTGGCACCAAGGAAGCTCCTGTTCTACTCGAGAAGAACACACGTACAGGTGTCCGACTCACACCCCATCTTCGCAGGAAAGGGCAAACGCATCGGAGACTTAACCCAGTCTGCCGGCAATGCTGGCTGCGCTCCCAAAGGGAAACTGACTGGGTTCTCCAATGTAGGAAATAAAAGCAACATGGGTAGTTGGTTACTTATTTAATTTAAAGATTTATTTGTACAGAAAAGGAGAGCGAGATAATCCATCCACTGGCTCACCCCAAAATGGTCACAATTGGAGGTCCAGGCCAGCCAGGAGCATCTTCGTGCCATCTCCCTTGTTAAGTAGGTGGCAGGAGCCCAAGCACCTGGGCCATTTTCTGCTGCTTTCCCAGGCACACTAGGCAGTGAGCTGGATTGAAACTGCAGTAGCTGGCATGGAAACCAGGGATCTGCTAGGAGATGCCAGCATGGCAGGTGGCAGCTGGTTCCCCGCACCTTAGCACTGGCCTCTCGGCAGAGTCTGAATTCACCTGTGAGCAGGTAGTTTCAGAGGGTCGGCCCACAGCTTCTCTCCCCTGGGGATGGACAGGGTTGGCTGAGAGCACAGTGAAGACCTGGGAGACGAATCCACACACTCCTGACTTGACGAGGCTCCTGGCCCCCTCTTGGACTTGCGTGCTTCTGCTTTTGGCGTTACCTATCTCTTTAAAGCCCCAAGGAATTAAAGTGCTGACCATTTATATGTCCAGTACTTCCACACAGAATTTGCTTGTCTAAAAGAGAAAGCAGTTCCACCGTGTCTTGCAGTTATGCAGGAGGATATCCGAAGTCTCTAGAGATTTGGCCAGTCGTGCTCTGGATGTAAACGCCCTTACCACCTGCGTTCCACTCTGAAATACTCAGGCAGAGTACCTGGGTACAATGCTAATGACTGCAATGTCCATCTGATGAACATGGGTGGTCATTCTTTAGGCTGTATTGCAAGGGCGGGACACTCATGTCTTCAATGGCAAGTGACATCTCGTGTAGCAGATCTTCTAGGGTAAACACAGGAACACTCTCGGACACATTTTGCAGAACTGATTGATAAGAGAGGTGTATGCTGAAGCAGTGTGGGACCCATCGGTACAGCTCCTGTCCCCTCAGCATCCTGCTGTGCTACTGTTCCTTGGGACAGCAGAATGCACAGGGCAGAGCTGTTGGAGCAGCGGCCAGTGTAGTCCCACCAGGATCTCCCAGCACCCAAGAAAACCGAGCAGTCGCATCATCGACTCACACACAGGCACCTCACACATGCTGAATGAAAAGTGAACCTACACACCACGCTTGGGGAAGGGATCTGGAATTATCCAGACCCCTTCTTCAGCAGCACCACTCTGCCTGCAGAAGGCACGCAGAAGCCAGGAGCCTGGAATTCCATTTAGGTCTCTCGGTGGCTGGCAGGGGCCCAAGCACCTGCTGCCTCCCAGGACGCGGTGGCAGGAAGCTGGAAGGAAAGTGGAGGAGCAAGGACATGACCAGCACTCCACCATGGCGTGTGGGCATTCCAAGGGGCAGCTTACTAATGCTGTCCCGCAATGCCGGTCCTCACCTGTCTGCCGTCTTTCCTCTCTAAGTGCTACCAAGCTGCAGCCCTTCCCGACTGAGCTTTCAGAGAGCATGACTTTCCACCCAAGTGTGTGCAACAGTCAAGATGGGGTCAGACTGTGGTAAAGAGCCAGAACCCAGTCCTGGTCTTTCATTGGGTCCTGGGCCCAGACATCCAAACCAGGATCTCTGCCATGAGACAATGGAGGCCCAAGCAGCACTTCCTGCCCTAATTCTTGATAGCAAATATAAATGTTTGCATAAGGAAAAGACAAGGAGAGAGGGCGGTGGTAAGAATCTGGCTTCAGCAGCATGGCGCTGCCAGGGAAGTTTCAGGGTAAGGATGAGGAGTGCAGCTATGCTATCTGGCCCACAACCTTGCCCTTCTCGGCAGTGGTTCCCCAGTGCCAGTCTGTGGGCACATTGGCCACTGGGACCTCAGCCTGTGCAGCCTGGACTGTGGGTTCCAGTCAATATGAATTTAACTACAACACCCAACTGGAGACTTCTTCCAGCCTCGCTGGAAATGGATTTATCCTTTCCTAAAATGGCATTTTTAAAAATATATAAAATTTCATACTCTAGAAAATATCTTCAAAACTGAGGGTAAGGGGGCAGGTGAGGCAGTGCAGCAAGGTAAGCTGCGACGCGGGCCCCAGGACTCGCAGTCCAGCCTCCTGCTACTCACCTGCGAGGCACAGATGAAAAGTGCACTGGCCATGAGCCCTTTAAGGACCTGCTCTGTCAGCGCCTAGCCGCATCACTGAGGAAGTGCCACTCCTCCACAGACACAACGCAACAATTAGCTAGCTGATGAAGCAATGTGAGGCTAGTCACTGCTACCACGCACCTGAGGGTGGGCACCTGGCCGGGGGATAGGTCGGCCCTTGGGACACCCACACCCTGTTCTTAGTTCTGAGTCCAGCTTTCAGCTCATGTGTGCTGTGGGAGCGAGCGGGTGAGGTCCCTGCCGTCCAGGTGGGAGATCCAGATTACACCGAGGGTCCTCGAATCGGCTCGTCCCACACCCCAGATGCTGGCAAGTCTTTGCGAGCTCCCTGGCTTTCAAATTAAACGAGATCTTAAAAAGTCGCGGGGCTGGAGCAACGGCTCAATGGCTAGACCCTCATCTTGCAAGTGCCAGGATCCCTCAGGGGTGCTGGTTCATGTCCCGGCTGCCCCCG